TATAATTTGAAGTTTCGCGGATGACGACACGTTACATCCAGCAAGTTTCCATTTTGTCTGCTCGATGCGCTACACCTGCTTCACCACAGTAATGCAGGCACTAATTAAAAACTGCGTAACTTTAACTTTAATTTAAGTCGGCTATAATACTCGCAATAGAGGCTTGGGCCCAGATGAAATCTGACTCCTCGCGAAACTGAACAGGCAAATTCAAAAGTATTCGACAGCATCATTATCCGAGCGCGCCAAGAGCTGGTCTTAAGGTCCCATCAACCGCTACAACGCAACCTCTCCTCCGCCGCACGTGCAGGCTTTCCTTGTAAGCCGCCAGTCCCTCTCAAAGTGAGAAGAAAAATTTACCTGTGGAGGGTAGTGGTCGGGTAGCAACCTGAGGGCCTCCCGATACGAAGACAAGGCTTTATGCAGCCTACCCTGCTCGGCGTAAAGCGAACCCAGTTGTAGGAGAGCCTGAACCCTCGCCGCCTCGTGTGCTTTCTTATCCTTCAGGGCCGAGCCGTCGAGGGAGGCGCCCGTCCTCAATACGGCAGCGGCTTCGGTACTCCTGCCGACAGACGCCAGCGTCGCTCCCAGATTCACGTACGCCTCTAGAGAATCCGTCGAGCGGCAAAGGCATCCTCTTAATCATTCGCTCGATCTCCTCATCCCCCCTCCCCCTCCTCCTCATCGTTCTCCCACCAAAGTGTATCAGCCACCACTCGCCACGTCGTTCGTTCTCACCCTCGCTCTTTCTCTTTCTCATTCGCTACCCCTCCCCCCTGCCCCACCGCCGCCGCTTCAACATTCGAGGTTATTACTTAGCGCTCGTATCTGACACAACGATCGGCGATTTGTTTGGGCGCGACCCCGGAGCCGACGAATGCTCGCATTTGTCAGCCGCTCCTCGGAAATTTCAATCTGCGACTCGCTACTTAGCCCACGTGCTCGAATTAAGTTGGAAAGAGCGAGAATGACTAATTACGCGGGGACGTTCTCGAGGACGCTCTCGACGGCCTTGAAAAGACACCGAGACGTTGCCCGGGGGCTGAGACACGAGGAGGTATACTTACGCGCGAGGGATGGCCTGAAGTGAATGGCACGCTGGTAGCTAAGAATGGCCTCCTCGTAATTCTTCCTGCCCTGCTGCAGAATGCCCCTACGGCAGGAAAATCGTACGTGTGCGGATACAAGGGTTGGCGGCAAATAAAGAAGAGAGCGAGAAAATCGAGCATAATCGAGGGGCCACGACGGCCATTGGTCCAAGCTTATCGTGGTTTCCCAGACTGCCCGCGGCTTATCGACTCGCCGGCGATGGGCAAGAGCGAACTCTCACTTTCGCGGCCATCGCGGAGGACGAGGAGTCGGACTCTCTCGTCTCGTCTTCTCTTCCTCCTCATCCTCCTCCTCATCTTCCACCCCCTCATCCGTCCGTCCGACCCCTTTCCCTGCTCCGGTCCTATTGCACCATCCATCCCATCCGCCTACCCCCTCCCATCCCATTGCTCTCACGCTTTCTCGCTCTCTCTCTCTCTCTCTCTCTCTCTCTCTCTCTCTCTCTCTATATATATATATATATATATATATATATATATATATTTATATATATATCTCTATCTCTATCTCTATGTCTCGAGGATGAAAGGGAAAAAAAGAGGCAGACTTACAAGTTGTAGTGCACGTCGGCCATGTTCGGTCGATAGCGGAGTGCCTCGACGAAAGCTTCCTCCGCCTCATTGACTCGTCCTTGGGCGCTGAGGACGCTGCCCAAATTGCCGTAAGCTGAAACCCAGTTGTTTTACCTCTCGTTTACCTCTCGTTTACCTCTCATCCCCTCCCCAACCATTCCACCAATCTGCCCACCCACCCCCAATCACATTCCCTTCCGACTCCCTCTGTGGCGATGGGCCGAGCGGGGCAAACGGCTAACGATTACGGGGGCGCGTATACCGGAAAGACGGAAGTGAACCGCGGGCACGTGTATCGATCAGTTGCTATCTCGGAGCTCGGTCTTTTTAATAAAAGCTCGTCGCCGAGACGCATCAATCTCCCGCCTGATGAATGTGGGGGTACCGCGCTCGCAGTCCCCGACCCGCGGGAGACCCCCGACCTCCCCCGAACGCCCAACTCCCTGGAGGAGACGACGCGTGTACGCGACGGAGGAAAGGACCCGCTGAATACGAGGTTGCAATAAAGATAAGATAAGTTATTTATTGCGAGCATGACCGACCCGACCCCAGTGTTAATCTTAATTGTCCCGTTCTCTTCCTGCCCCTATCTTCGCTCGCTCGGACATCCCCAATTTTCTCCTCCTTCATTTTCATCGGCTCGCGAGCGCATATCGAAATACCGCAGCCCGGCCCGGACAATGTCGAGTCCGCGCGTACTCGGATTAAGCTATTGCGTTAAACTTTTATGATTCATTCTTGGCTAATGAAAAAACTTTGGGACGCCGATGTTATATTTTTCCAACTTCCTGCGACTCTTTAAACGCCCGCGGAGGGAATTCGTTCTTTCGGAAAGCGAGCGCGGGGATTATTATTCCACGGGATGCTGTAGATTACTCTCAGTGTCGCTCCTTGTCAGTCTGTACATTATTTATATACACATACCTCTGGACTGAAAAATAATTGATTACTTTCCACCGCCGTTTCTCATATCGAATTCGTATTTTATTATAAAGCTGCTGCTACGCTTGCCGCTTTGTTATTGCGAGCACACTTTCCATTATCAACTGCTCTCCAAATTTCAATCTTCCTCTATTATGTAAAGCCCTACTTCGTTCGCTTTAATTTATACCAATTGATAAATGATATAATGATGAAAATTTTGCCGTTTGTTTGTTGTAAGAACAGAGTCGCTCGAAATGTGCCGCAATTTTTAATAATTCTGCCTGCTGACCTCGTCGATAATTCAATTTAAATTTAAATCTTTTTATTTTTACGATACGCACAGTATGCATACAACAGTCATCATATCATTATCGATGTCATTACGAATGAAAATAAAAGATAATTGATTGTTAACATCTTATGCTGAACAGTGATTTTTACATTACATTACACGTTTCACATAGCTGTATCCGATCCGATTAGACGCGTAAAATCGAACAATAAATATAAATTATTGAAAACTATTTGTTACGGAGCTTGCATTATCTTATTGCGAATTTTGACGTAATACGTTAAAGAAAAATGGCCCTCGAGAGGCTTAGCGACTAGCCTCGCGACGGAAATACATCGTAGTAGACGTAGTAGACGTAGTAGACGTACGTCCACGACCACGAAAATACGTAATTAATTGGAGATCAAGGGTTAAAAAAATGAAGGACAAACGCACTCATCTGGCAAATAAGTTATTATTGATGGCGTATAATACGAGGGGACGGCAAGTGGAATCGATCGAGACCAAAGGACGCGCTCGTCGAATTGTAATTTATCGAAAAGTGCTGGTGAGCGAAACGATCTTGGCTGAAAGATCCCGCACAGAAAGTGAAGTAACTCGAGTAGGAGATGTACCTTTGGGGGGGTTGATGCGCAGAGCTGACCTATACAGATTCTCCTCGTTGTACCAGTCGGCATTTCGAAGAAGAGTCCTTGCGGCCATGCAGCTGAGGAGCGCTGCCGTGAGGACGAGAATGGCCCGGGCGAGCCTTACGAAGCCCCTGCGTCGCGCCAAGTTGAAGGAGGCTGAGATGGCGGCACTGACGGCGAGGCAGGCCCCGATGCTCGGCAGGTAAAGGATGCGCTCGGCGATGACGAAGCCCACGTAGACGAAAAGATTGCTCGCTGGTAGAAAGGGAAAGACGAGAAAGCCGAGTATCGTGAGCAAGGAGGAGGGCACGAGGATTGCCCCACACCTTGCCGACACGTGCCGTTGTTGCTGCTGTTGCTGCTGCTGCTGCTGTTGCAGTAGATGCTGGTGCTGGTGCTGCTGCTGTAGATGCTGCTGATACTGCTGCTGGTACTGTTGCTGCTACTGCTGCTGTTGTTGTTGTTGTTGTTGTTGTTGTTGTTGCTGCTGCTGTTGCTGCAGTAATTGATGCTGCTTCTTTTTGGGACAGTGACACTCGGCGACGGGGCCGTTATTGTTGTTGGCGGCGCGACAACCGTCGGTGTGGCAAGCACCGGTTCGCCGGCCTGCACACACTGGACATCGCGACGATGAAGACGATGTCGAACCGAGGAGGCAAAGACCCGTTGATAGTCCAGAACCAAAAAAACAACTGTTCGAATCACCGTGATATCCGCCGGAACCGCTCAACAAAGACTGCTGCTGTTGCTGGTGCTGTTGCTGCTGCTGCTGCTGCTGCTGCTGCTGTTGTTGTTGCTGCTGTTGATGCTGCTGATGCTCCGACCTGGAGCCAGAGGCGATAATGATGAGCGAATAAAGCTAAAATGGTACGGATTAAAAGAAAAAGTGATTAAAGTTAGAAACCTCGTGCGCGATCGATGGTGAGCTGGCTGGGAGGCAGCACGCCGCAGGCTACGAATTGCCCAGAGGATGGCGGCGCCCAGACTTCCGTAGAGTAGCATGGACTCGAGATTGCGGGGATCGCGGATACTGCTCACTATGGGCACCGCGTTCATAGACCAATCGAAACTCAGCGAGCACGGACAGAGAAGCATCCCGAGACTCGCCGCGGGCAGGTAGAGGAAGGTCAGGCCTCGGGTGAGCCTCGAAGGATGCCGCGCCACCGGATTGTCGGCACTCGCGAATTCCGGCGCCCTGCCACCGCTGACGCGTAATCGTCCCAGTGTGATAATGGCCAGACTGCCGGCAACGAGGGTCGACGACGGCCAGCGACTCTTCATCTACAAGTCAATGTTTATACACAGCTTAGCTGTGTAGAAGCTCGTGCTCTCCTCCGAAAAATATCAACGCGAAATCGCTTGAAGTCGAATAGAACTTTTGCCGGACGTTAATTCAACTTCGACTGCGTGTCATTGAGCTCGAACGAAAATTCTTACTGTTATTATAGAAGTCAGCATTAAATATTAAAATCTTAAAAGCTTCTTCTGGCAATAAAAATAACTGCACTGCTTTTTTTTCCCCTCGTACGCATTTAACGTGTCGAGGAGATTGATTGACTGGCTATTAACCGTAATAACAAAACTAGGGAGATATTTGTAAAATATATTTAATTTATATGTGTTAATATCAACACTATTTGTGTATTAATTCGTTGACATATGGTTGACAGTTGATTTGTGCTTCCAGTTACGAATAGATTGCGTATTGTTTACCGAAATAATAATCTAAAAGATATATACCAGCCAACGTTATCGAACAGTCAGACAGATATATATCAGGATTCATCTGTGTAATTATATATAAATAATCCTTGTTTGTTCCATTAAAATACATTATAAATAAAGCGCTGCTGTTATAACTCATCCAACTTAATTATACTCGGATTTTTATTTATTTTATATTAACATGCCTCGTATATTACTTTATCAAGTATATAGCATTAATTAGTCAGTATTAATCGAATATTTTAGAGCTTAGATATTAATCATAAGAGTTAATTCAATAATAAAAACGAAAAAAGGAGAAAAACGCTTAAAGTTTTTATATTTTTATCACTTTGTGCTCACTTTATTACTTTTTTACTCGGAAGTTTACATATTTATTAGAGAGCCTACGCGTAATTTTCTATAAAAACTCTTTTTTATTTTTATTTTAATTTTTTTTTTTTTACTCTTTTTTATTATTATTATTTTTTTTTTTTATTTAAACGTTAAAAATAAATGGATCCCTTATAAAGAGAGATAATGTAGTGATTTATAATAAATGATACACGAGTACATGACGGCGGCACTTCGCACGATGAAATATCGATAACTAGTCAAATTTGAGCGCTGCTTGCTAATATTATGAAATTAATCACACGTCCCACGACCCATCAATATTAAAAAAACTCGATAATCTTGAATTGAAGAAGTAATATTTTTAACACAGCCAAATAATGAATTACAATGGCACGTCAAATTACACAAATAGAAAGCGGTTGTCGCAAATGTATACGGTTAAAATTAGAATTTGCATAAAGAAAAGTAAAGAGAGAGAGAGAGAGAGAGAGAGAGAGAGAGAGAAAGGGGGGAGGGAAGAGAGAGGGAGAGAGATAGAGAGATAGAGAGATAGAAATTTAAGCCGAGCCTGATTAGCATAATGGGACTTTGTTCGTATCAAAAATAGGAACGTCGTATCGGACGAGAATCTGGATGTCGGATTTAGTTTATCGGTAAAGAGCTAACGAGAAACATCCAGAGTCAAGAGCAAAAAGTATTTTACTTGCAAATACCGTCAAATTAAAGCATTAAATCGAATTATCGATGTTTGCAAATAATGTGCCGCCGTTTATTATCACTTCAATACGGATTCTTAAATACGCTTAAGAAGCTTTTAATTTTATTAGCCTCATAAATGTATTGCTCGCTAGGAACTTTGCTAAAAACTACATTTAATTTAAGTAAATGATTCAAAAAATCATTTCTTCATAAAAATATTTCCTATCTCCTCGGCTATTGCGTTTCCACTTAATAAATAGATACATTATACTTTGATGTTTTCTTATAAAATATCACAATCGGAGATTATCCGTGCAAGATTTTATATTATGTATTATCGAAATTTATAGAAACGGTTTGTGGATAATCCATGAGAATTCAATTCCCAAACTGATTTAAAGGATATGCAAGTGTGAACTCGTTTAATTTGCTCGACCACACACGTAACAGATAAATATAAACAAAATGTTGGATGCTTTCATATTACTTGCATCCTTTATGTCCTAATCTGGCTTTTATTGCTGCGAAAATTTTTAACTTTCTCACTTTCAATAAATCACCGCCAATTATTCAATCAATAAATACACATTTTTAATCTATCAAACACATATAGCTATTATTTTTATTCAATACTCTATTGGATATTTAATATAGAGTGACTGTAGATTAAACATTTGAGATAAAGAGTTAGCGTGACCCGACTGTTTTCATCGCGATTAAGAAAGTAAATAATGGATAGATATGCTTAATAATTAGTGATTTGCTTGAAGCATATCTTGCAAATACCATGTCAAATTCGATGTTGCGTTGAAAAAAAAGAAAAGAAAAGGAAATGAACGCACACCAGCCAATACACGTACAAAATGACAAGAAAATATACATCTTTGTTTTGACAATGTAGAGCATTGCAAAACTTTATTAACGCGAATGATTCTTTAGATTAATATGCACACACGATATTGTATACAGTTTTTTTATAAAATATAGTTTTACAATTATCCAAAGAGAATAATGTTGAAAATTACAAACAGGCGAATTCCCAAAAAAAAAAAAACAAAAAAAAAAAAAAAAACGCGGAGTTAAATAACGATTGTCGTTTTGTTATTTTTCTTTTTCGCTTTTTGTTTTTTTATCCTTTGACCGGTTCGAATGCTTTTATTAAATCTACATGTCACTAACATTTTTTAACATTTTTATAGAAAATCTTTATAGAATAGGTATTATACAAATACGAATACCCAAAACCAAAAAATCGAACTATCCTATTTTTAGCATTCCTCGTAAAAGCAATTTACATAGCGCAACTAGCCAGTGTGGCGGCATTTGAAAAAAGCGCGTTGAGTATTAAATTAAAGAGCTTGTCGCCGAGGAGAAAAACCTATATATTAAAGCTCGGCCTGGCCTCGTAGGCTCTCGAGCTCGCAAACTTTACTCACTGTCGCCCGATGATTCCTGATCCAGCTTCGGGTTCATCTTGTTCGCAGTCTCAATCAATTGAATAATGCGCGCACGAGTTAACGTTAAAAGAAAAGATGGTTAAAAAGCCGATTAATGGGAAGGGAGGTTGGAGGTTGAGGGGGGGGGGGAAGAGGAGGGATGAAGAATAGCGCGCGGTCAATTGAAATGCCGAAGTAAAGGGAGTGAGCGTTTGTCCGGATAGACATAATGGAGGGTCAGCGGTGACCGGGCTCGGTTCACCCGACGGACGCACAAATTATTACCTTGCGCAGGAGAGTTTCGCTATGGCAAAAGTCCCAGAGGAGGCAGAGCGCCAACGAGGATATGCCCGTCTCCTTGGCGAGGGTCGCCAGAATGGAAAAGAGCAGGGTGAGCAGCAAATGAAGTATCGGCCGTCCGCCCTCGTAGTGAGCCACATAGGAGAGGAAAGCGCCCTCGGCGAAGAGGCAAGCCAGGAGGTCGGCCCGACCAACGATACCAGCGACCGCTTCGCTGTGGATTGGGTGGACGGCAAAAAGCAGTCCTGCTATCGCCTGGGCCAGGGTCTGACCCGGCAACACCTGCGGTACAAACTTATTGAGCAAGCTGCTGGATTACTGGGTGAGGAGGGGGGCGGGGGAGGGGGCGGGGCGGAGGGGTGGAGGACGGCCAAATCGTACGTGACGTTACCGAGATGCTCCCAGCCCCTTATCGTCCCTTCGTCTCATGTGGCGGCGACTTTACAAGAAAGGCATTATCGCTCGATGCGCTGTGCTTTGTTCCCGGGCGCTCGGCTAAGTAAGTTGCAATCAGCTCCGGCAAACACTTGGCGCTTTGGGCGCGAGAGGAAAATAGGCGGAGGCGTCTAGGCTCGCTGATATATGAAATTAGGAAAGACATTTTCCCGGCGATATCGCTTGATTAAGTAGAGTTTCGAAGCGTCGTTTGCAGGGTTACGCCTGCAGCCCTCCCATGACGCTGCCGCCACCGCCGCCACCGCCACCTCCCCCTCTCCACGCCGACAATTCACCATCGCCCACCCGACCCTCGCAGCCCAACCGCCCTTGCAGCAATCAATGTATCCCGTGACTAAAGAAATTTCGAGTCCTCCAAGTGTTTATACGCGCCATTAAATTTTTATCTTCTGTCGCCAGAAGACCAACCCACGACATCTGCAGGCCTCGATCAATCTCCACCGAAGGTAATCGCAGAAATCCATATCTGACGAATAAGAGGACAATCTTATCCAGTGCCTTCCTTTACAAACAAACTTAAAATATCCTAATCACATTACATGGCCGCCATAAACTTTATGGATTTTATCCGTAAACTTCTTCATGGGCCCCCGGCTGCAGCTCGAACTTACAAATAAAGCTTCCATATTGATTTGCTCCTCTTTGTACGTCTCCAACAAATGCTCCTTGCGAATACGATGAGATTTTTATGTCCCGCCGCGATGAGAGAAAAATTTGTTCAAACAAGGCACAACTTCGTTAAAATTACTTATTTATTGCGCTAATTTTGGATCTTGTAATGATCGCCTTGTAAAGTAAGAATCTCTTTGAGTGTCATAATTTCATTCTCATCGCTTTCCCTCAGTCCCTATCAAATTAAGATAATTTCTCGTCAGCCGATAAGCGTGCGTGCCAAACATAATTCCCGCGCAAAATTGTTGTATTAATTAATTTAATTGCGAGTATCGGTTTAGAGAGTGCATCAAGCTTTTATTCGAATGAAAAGAGAAAAATAATTGCCATCTGCTCAAATTGAAATGCAAAACGAATGGCACGAGCGTACGACTTTGTGTCTGGAAAAAGATTTTGTCTTTCAATCAATTCGACAAGGTACCTTCTTTACTATCGTGTATTACCAATACTGCAGAACAGTTTCTATTTTATCTCATCACGAAAGAGTAAAGGCTTACCTCCAAGAAATTTTACCTCCATGAGAGCAGTGTGAGTTGAACCGTAAAGATTGCACTCGTAGCCTTCCGTAGAAACGGTAATTAGACTCACTAAAGGACTACGCCTGCCCTAGCCGACAGGCTTTTATTTTCATGGATCAGGAGCGGCGAATCCGAGGTTGTGATACATAACCACAGGTCATTCGTAAAAACAAATACAGAATTTTGTCTGCAATTAACGACGTTTAATAGAATATAATGAGCTTCGGAATGAAATCAGCGAATATTCTTAACATAAGCACTCGTTCTTGCCTCGTCGTCCTCTCTCACACACACACTCTCTCTCTCTCTCTCTCTCTCTCTTAATCGTCCCTTGACAGTAATTATCATATTTTAAAATGCCTTTGATAATAATTACATCAATAATACAAAAAAAAAAAAAAAAAGAAAAAAAAAAAGAAAGAAAGAAAGAAAGAAAATGCTTTTAAATAGAGAGTAAGATGAGAAAATTATAATTATTAATCAAATAAATGAAGTTCTCGAAGATATTATGGTGAGCTCAGAAAATGCAAAAGGCGAATTACTCTGTGTCAATTATTCTACCTTCTCTATTTTCGAATACCAAACTTAAAATACCATGTTCTCTTTAACTTTGCCATTGTCATTTTCTTATTATAATTATTTTTAATAATTACACTGTCATGGAATATTAAATTTCCTAATTAATTTACACATAATTGCGCTACGATTACGAAAATAACCTTTTTACATAATTGTAATAACATATAGCTCGTTCTTTATGCAAAGTATTTTTGTACTCGGTATTGGCTATTCTGCAGAAATTATACCCTAATTTTTCATATTAAAGCTTGTTTTCCTAAATGTACATGTTATACGATTTTTTTCATTCCTAGGCCATTTATCCGGGAGGAACAAAAATTGAGAAGAATGCGAATATTTTTAGTTACTTCGCTTCGTTATATTTACAACGCGAAGTTAAAATTGACTTGGGCGGTTAAGACTAGCTATTGTATAAGAGCCCAGTAATTGGGACAGCGAAGAAAAATTGCGTCTGGCCGCTTGGTATGATGATTCGAGCGAGCTCAACAATTTTTCAACTTGCAAGACTCGTTTAAGGAAATGATAATGAATTATCAGATAATGATCATCAGATTACAACGGCATTAATGACGACAACAACGATTACAATCACGATAATATTATTAATAATAATAATAATAATAATAATAATAATAATAATAATAATAATAATAATAATAATAATAACGATAACATCAGTACAACAACAGCAACAAACAACGGCAACATCAACAACAGTAGTAACAATAATAATAAGCACAATAAATATGAAATATTAAGAGAATAATTTACGAGCAAAGTTATAGAGTTTTTGTCACGTAAGCCATATTATTTTTTTTTCTTTTGCGATGGCACACGCCGGTTAGTATTGATTTGCAAGAGGCGCGCGTCTCTTAAGATTTTTAATAAGTTCATGGAAACTAGGTAGGGTTTGCAAATTAAGCCTCGTTATAAAGATACAATAATTGATGTAATATCTTCGGATACATAAAAATACACGTTAACGACAATAACGGACTGACCCGCAGTCACTGATACATCCACCCTAAAATACAAAATACTGGATACGCATAAACCAAGATGAATAAGGGCAGATAAATGAACAAAGAAAGCTGCTCCCCCACTCGTGTGATCTCGGTTTAATATAATTCGTTACAAAAGCCATCGGACTGACCAGCGATAACGTAAATATAACAGTCAAGCTAATCCTATTATCTCATAAAAGTTTGGCTCACATATATTTATGACAATCTGTAGAATAAAAATTGCGTTTCTGTGGGACCGAAGTTGCTTTTCCAAAATGTGAATACAATTTAAGCAATGACATAATACGTAATCTCACAGCCCATTGCTAACCGGAAAAATTACCCATATTCGACACCATCGTTGAAGAATTTTTTTTTTTTTTTTTTTCCATATTCCTTAGCCGTCGATAAGTATCTGCGGACCGCGTCTACCAAGGAGAAAGAAGGTAAATTAGCAAAACCAATCACCATTTTTGCGGGGAGGGGGGGGGGACGAACCTCGTCTTAGCTATTGACGAAAACCCAACAACATGAAAATAATCTTCGGCCTTGGCAGTTGGCAATTTTGAACTCTAGAAGTCGTTTAGCAACCTCGTATACCAAAGCCTCCAGATTCGCTTATTCGATTAGTCTATTCCAGGAGCATCTTAAGCCTTCGACTATCATCTTTCACTTCGCTTCCCCTCCACCCCACTCCACCGCTCTCCACCGTAAATTCTCCGGCAAGCATATTGCCCTAGAAAAGCTATTCCATAAGCTCGCATAGTGGGGCGCGTAATTATTAATTTCTCTTAACCATATCTCAAGTATTACGTAATGCATAAGCAATCGAAATAATAAATGATTTCGACACTCGAATACTCCCCCTTTATACCTTGCAGCTACCATTCACCGGGGTCTCCAGGGTCATTTTTCAACTTTGAGGTCTTACAAAATTCTATTATCAACGAATTTGAAAACTAATTCTCATTCTTTATCCACTCGATATAAATGTCTTTTATTAACGGGTGGATCCCCCCCCCCCCCCCACCCCCCACCCCCATTAAAAAGGGGGAAAAATACATTATCCACATATGAATTCGCTCGTCGTTACAATTCATTATTGCTATCAAATATAAAAGTAAGAATTCGAAACATATTTATAAATCCCGGGAATAAAATGCAAAGAGCCTGCGAATCTCACTTTATGAAACTGCTATACAAGCTTCTATTATTCATAAGACATAATTAAAGTAAAGAATGGAAATCCAAATAAAATCTGATCATGTTTCAATATATTGAAAGAATAAGATTTTTATCTGACCTTCTTATCGGCCAATATTCTACAAGAAATATAATCATACAATATAACTCATTCCAAAAGTTAAGCATTGAATGTAAATAATGGAAAATGAATTATTATGGATTTTAATGAAACTGCTAGTTTCCCTCAATAAAAGATCGCAGAACGTTTTCTATATTTACATAATTATTTTTGTAATTAAGAAAAAATTCAATCGTTACTTTAGTATGCACATTGAGTAGCTCATCCATTCGATTTTACTTTAGGCATTTACAAAAAAAACAATCCTCGCCGCAAAATATAAACAAAAAAAAACAGATCAGATATACGTAAGTAAATAAAAACATTAAGAATTGTTAAATACAAATGATTAGGCTGCTTAAGTAATTTACGTAATATTAATGATCCTAATAAATATATAATACCTCGTTTGTTTGATATGTAAGAATTTTTTTGATATTTGTAAATTATTTTTCATAATGTTTTATTTGAAATTTTTATATACTATTTCTTCTGATTAGAAATACTTTAATATGTAAATATTTGTAATCGTAGATAGTAAATTGAATTATGAAGAGCAAATAGAATCTGTCACTTTTACAAGAAATAATTAAACCAAAGCATATCAAACTAAATAATCGAACAAAGTGAAAAAGCAAAGGCTTCTTAATAGAGAAAATTTTTAATTAATTATTACAATGTGTGATTAATATAATAAACCAATATATACGAATGCCGCAAAGTTTTCTAAATAATGAACAATTAATAAATATTCGTATGCTAATGCATAAAAAAATTAATGTACTGTAGTAAGTAATATATATATATATATATATATATATATAATTTGTTTTTAAAAAATATGAAGGAGTATAAAAAGATTTTAATATTTATACATTTAATAGAAGTATTTATTATATCTAATAGAGACGCAATGTTAAACAATCTCATACTTTATTTACGCACACATTCACGTATTTTCATACGTTCCTTACTCTAAATCAATATTTAATAATCGCCTCTCGCTCATTCTTGCTTTCGACAATTATCTAACAAATAATTATTAAGTTTCATATATAATTTTAAACATCTATTTACACTAAATAATTTTACTAATCGTGTATCATATGCCTTTAAGTTTTTATTAACTTAGGATAATAATAATAATAATTAGAAGAGCATTTACGTTTTTAATGGCACAAGAAATATCGTATCCAAGAGCCACTGAAAAACGTTAAAATCTAATGGTTACACCTACTCCCAACACATACACTATCCCCATTTGAGTCATAAATTAAGCTTTATACATACATTCATAATTACTGATTTTAAACGGATTATACTATTAATAAAAAAACAAACATACATACAAATCAATGCTACTGATAATAATGAATATCCGACATATGGTGCTTCACTCTTTAAAAAATATATAAAAATTCGATACGTCAGCTAAATAAATGCAACTTTGAAAAGTTTGTATTGAAATCTAACGTTATTGCATCTATTATTGCGTCTATATCAATATTATCATTGTTAACAACCTTTGCAACATTCGTTATTAATATATGTCTTATTTGTACAATAAAAATATTATTACAAACAAAATATTAATCTAACTATGAAAATGGCAAAGATGAATATGAAAAACAATGACGAAAACTTATCTGTTTCATAAATTATCTTGCATATCCAACTTTTTTACGAGCTCGCGAGAGTACAGTAATAAGTTACTTCATCAAAATTTTTGCATTTTATCTGCATTCTACCGTAGTTCCTTTAATATTTTTCAAAACGACATTGCAGCCCAGATAAAATCTGAATCTGACGAACTTGGATGAATTGCGTAAAATAATCATAAAAAATTGTCGAAATCAATAGTCTGGGATCACGCGTGAAAAAGCGTTTTCAATTCGTAAAATATTTAAGGTAAACAGGAGATGAGCGACGAATATATAAGTTTATGCAAAAGATCCTGCAGAATAGAATATACGAAAATTAAGCTACAATTCTTGTATTTTCCTCTCAGTCCCCTATATGACTATTCAACGTCAACTAGCGATGAGAAAAATAAACGAGTCTCGGCACGTGTGTATCACTGTCCCTCCCCATCCCAATTCCCAATTCCAATCCCCATTCTAGCCCGATACTTTACACGAATACTTTATACATTCACCTTTTTAGCGATCCGAACAACGAGGGCCGTGCAGAACGCATGGAGGGCGACGTTCACCAGGTGATAGCCTAGAGGCTCGAGGCCTCCCATTAAGTAGTTGAGCCGATAAGTGGCGACACATAGAGGCCGGTAGCTGCCATGGGATCCGCGTTCCCGCAGCGACGTGCCCCAAAAGTCATTCTCCAGAAGTCGTGACCAAGGTGTACTCGGCTTTAGGTCAGCATTCGTCAGTATAGCTCGCCTGTGAATTAATCGAAATTTTAAATGATTAAACGTTGCCACAATGAGAATGAGCGGGAGGATATGACAGTTCATTGAGCAACGGATTTTTCAATTGAAGAATTTTTGGTGGCTTTCTGCCTTCCGTATCTCCGATCGACATCCCTTCCCCCCCCCCTAGTCGTAGGATGCCATCAACTCTTGGGATCGTCTTTTTTCAATTTTCCTCGTTAAGCTACTCGTCTATAATTTTACAAAATCCAAAAGATTGCAGAATTATGCTTCTTTTCGCATTTTTCTCTGCTTGAAAATCCCGAGCAATCCTGGTCATCCAATATGGTTAAAAAATTTGTTCGCGATTGGGCGGCAGGTGCGGAGAAGACAACGATATAATAGAGAGAGAGAGAGAGAGAGCGTGTGTGCGTGCGTGCGTGCGTGCGTGCGTGCGTGAGTGAGAGTGAGAGACAACGTACTGACGCGTATAAATGAAATCGATTTGGGCTGCCAAACTTTACGAAACATACTCGGAGGGAAATATAAAGCTTCAGAAGTTGGCCCAAAAGAGCAGGAGCTTAATTTTTCCGTAGACAATTGCTCAAGGATAAAAGTACTTCTACGGAACTTTCTCGACTTTACCACTTTCTTAAATACATCTTTAAGTAGATTTTAAGTAAAATAAAAAAAATTTTTTCTCTCTTTTTTGGACACAGTTAAAATTAGTTAAACGTTAATATGTGCAAACCAATCTACCGACTAAGACATTTAAATCGATTGTAAAGAAAAATGTATAAAAATTCTTTTAGAAAGAGAAAAGAAAAACTTTTTGTAGGGACGGGAGAGTTTATTAGACGGGGCGGAAAGAGCTTATTTTTATTTATATGTGTAACTTACTGTGCTATAATTTGAACAATGGCAAGCTTGGTAACACTATCTCTAAGTAATCAAACATTCATATTAATCTATCTCCTATCTAATATACGATCATTTACAAATAAAAGTATAATAGTTCGTTCGACTGGGGAGTGCTTATATTATCAAAATCGACAGCGTATATTAATTTAGAAAGACGATTTATCATCCTTACTAGCTTTAAAAAGGCCGTATTAAATTTAAATGACGTGAAAGTAAGAGTGTCGGTGAATTGTGCAATTATTTACACATTTGTTAAATTTTCCTGCGAATGATTGCAGACAATGATGCGACAATGATTATCTTGTAATAAGGAGTCGATAGTTTCGCTGCTGCATTATTACTTTTGCGAAGCGAATGTTGAGTGCATAGAGAGCTCTCGGAAGAGAAGGGAAGAGGAATGGAGATAACCAAGCCGAGAATAAAATATAACAACGATTTGCGGAGATATGCGAGGCGGTCGAAAAAAATGGGAAGAGCGAGGGAAAGCGTGGCAAAGGCAAACGAAATTGAAAACGCGAACGAGCAGTGCGCGCAATGATTCGGAAGTAAGTGGAGTAGTGCGCGGAATTGTAAGGGGTGAAGTTGAGTAGAGAACTGGTCGGGGGACTGGCAGGTCGGGAAAATTGTCGGGGGCGGCTCGATCGGTGCGTGCGACATCGCGGGGAAATCTCGGGATGCTGGGCGATAGGGAGAGGAGAAACGTCGGGGCTGTAGAGCGGGCAAGAAGGTGGAGTGTACGGCGAGAGTCGTGGGACGAGCGACGGTAGTGCGGGGATTGGACGGCGGCGGCGGCGGGGGGTGGCGGAGGAGGTGGTGGCAGAGGAGGAGGAGGATGAGGATGAGGAGGAGTATGAGGAGGAGGATGAGGAGAATGAGGAGGAGGAGGAGGAGGCAGAGAGGGCGAGGTGAAGTGAGGTGGGAGGGGACTGCGGGGGCAGAGCAACGGCTGGAAGGGACTTGGTATCGATTTCACCGAGTTTCCACGGGTAAACGCGACTGGCATAACTTTGGATGTAACGCTGGGCTGCGCGGTGCGTCGCGACGCGCAGAGGTGGGAGCCGCCGAGCGCGAATAAAAGCGGACGCTCGATTCGTTCGCAGCGATAATAGATAGCAGCCGCGTTAATAGAAAATAAAAAACTTTGAATTTTGTGAAACGGGAGAGGGTATGATGGATTTTGGTGAGATGACGGGGGGGGGGGGGAATCCGTTTTTTTTCCCAGGACTCGGGTCACCTCGGCTGGGCCGGTAAACGACGCTGACTAATTGGAGGTCTTGGAGGACCTGGATCGCGTGGTCGAGGGCCGTTCGCGCTAATGTGTGCCGAGGCTGCGTAGCTGCGTAGCAGGAGAAAAGAAATAATCGATGGGCTCGTGGGGCAACAGGTATTGCACGTAAGACAGGTGTCGGGGCGCTTCTGCAAATCCAGCGTCTGGCGGAGTACCGCAGCGACGTTGCCAGCCCCCGAAGCTCAAGACAGAGTACGAGATAGGTTTTATGTACTTTACATAAAATTACGGGGCCCGACCAAATGATATTCCACTTAGATCTTCTATCGTGGGGATTATACTTTTAGATTTATGTAGGCCGCGCGCGATAAAGTCACCTTTACTTATCGTTTCTTTATTTCGCGTCGCCCTCGGTCTCCCTCGTTCACTAATCCGCGTATAGTCGCCGCGATCTCGAAATTGGACCTCGATGCGTCTAAAAGGAAAACCATCCTCGGAAGAGCTAATTAAGAAAATCCCGTTGGTAACTTGTTTAAAATCTCGATGATATTAAAGGAGCAAAAAGAAAACCCTCCCCGGAAGAGCTAATTAAGAAAATCCCGTTGGTAACTTGTTTAAAATCTCGATGATATTAAAGGAGCAATTACCGAGCCCCCAAACCAGAGGAATGCGATGCTGTAGACAGAGAGAGAGAGAGAGAGAGAGAGAGAGAGAGAGAGAAAGAGTCTTGATTCACAAGTGTGTACGGTTAAGCATCGCAACGGGATTGCGAGGAGGGGGGAGAGTTGTCGGGAGTATTATAGGAAAAACTACCAACATCTCAGAAATTTCGTCGAAAGTAAAAAGCGCTTATAGACAAAGGTATGTCTCTTTGATGAGTGGCTTTAAAATTTCCTTTCAACTGTGTCTTCTGAGATATTTATGCCGCTTTAGAATAAAATTCTATCTTTGGTTAACGCTAGTCTTCTTGCTATTACTTTTGGAAAATAAATGACCCATTAAAGCTATTTACTGTAGTAGTTGAAAGCCAATAATTTATGCGGTCTGATTCAATTTTTTTTTTTTTTTTTTTTTTTGTATTTAAAGGCTTAATGAATGTAGAAAACTTATTTTTCGATTTGCAAATTACAAAGTTAAATTGCCCTGCTTCTCCCACACAATTTGGTATCGCAAAAAGAAATGCCAAGTAACAGTAGAAAAAAAAGTAGAAGAAGAAGAAGCAGAAGAAGAAGAAAAAGAACAGCTTTTTTGATACGTAGTAAAATGATTTTCATTGTCACTTATAAAGTGTGAGCTCGTAAAATCATTCGTGCAGTTATGTGTGTTGTATACCACCGAAACCTTGTAATTGATTTGCTACTTTTAATAGGCCATTGTTTAAATAATATTTTTTTTTCACTGTAACAACAACATAAACAATTCGTAATACAATATTCTATTGTTAAATACGATGTCACTAGGTTTTAAATTTGAAAAAAGACAACATTTATTTTCAATTATAAAATTTTGATCAAACTCTATGAACTCTTTTGCGCTGTCCCAACGTTATTACCAACCTCATATTTGTAATTTCATTCCACCCTCAATCATAAAATAGTCTTTTTATGAGCACTAAATTGTTTTATTTCAATATTTTTACGCAAGTTATAGAAATATGAAAACAAATGTAATAGTTCAATGGAAAATACATATCAATTAATTTTCATTAAATCGCAATTATATTAATATTAAACACAAATACACGTGCTTTTATTTTATTTTTTATTATTATATTAATCTTTGATAATATTAATATATTTTAATTTTCAATTTTATATTATTTTAATATTTAATCTAATCATAAAATGCATTCAGTTCATTAGAGTATTAATTTTAAACCATAATTATGTAAAAGAAACGCAAAGTTCATCAAGATATTAAGTTCGAACATCTATCGTCTTAGTAAAGCAAATTTATTTCAAATATTTATTTATCTATCTTATTATATATATTATCATAATAATCCAATTCACTCGTACACAAATTTATTGCACAAAATTTGGCCTTGAAACCGTAGTTTTTTAGTTTAGGTTTTAAAACTAGTAAAAAAAATTGCCAACTATCAAATATTTATTTAAGAAAATTATTATGTATATATATATATATATATATATATATATATATATATATATATAAAGATTAAATACTTTTAAATTGGAATAATCTCATAATTTTTCTTTCAAAAATATACTCGTAATACTTTTCTGAAAAAAATTAGGTTTGATCAAATTACTTTGACACAGTTTTTACAATTTTAATGGATTTTTCAGTATAACTTTGAATGATGTAGATTATTGAAAAGTATTAAGATCGAACCTTATATAATATATACTTTTATTACAACACTGTCATCGCATCAAAAAAATTGCGGTCTACGACATCGAACCAGAAGCACGAAATTTCATCTTTTGTAATCGTTTATAATCGTAAAATGCTTCCCACGGTCTGATGAAAATCTGTGTTGCAAAAGCGCCTGCAGGCATTAATAAATACATCCATATATTCGTATGTAATATACATAAGTTAAAAGTCATAGACTGTTCTATACTTTGAGAAATAAAAAAAAAAAAGAAGAAATTTAATCGTCTAAACTGGCGCAGCTACTAATATGCCACCAAGTATTTTAATATTTTCATTAATATGTTTTATAGATGGTCGGATAAAATCTACATAATTACCACGGTAAATCTTCTAATATAACCTCGTTATATTATCATGAAGTTTATAATAAACTCGTTAATTTTATAAATTTAAATTATTATATTTTCAACAAAAATACTCGAAAGTTACAGTTAATGTATTAAATACAGTTACATAAATTAATATATTGGATTCTATTCGTGTCTTCCAGCCCTATTAATTTCTAGATTCCATATTGGAATATCGTTCATCTGTTAGTTAATATAAATGATTATCAAAAAGCTTTTAAAGTACGTGAATTGTTAACGTTGAAAATGAAAATTATAAGTAAATAAGATATTTAAGACTCGAATGATTATATATATATATATATATATATATATATATATATATATATGAGCTTTACGACAACTTTATACCATATATAATGTGACTAATATTCCAACGTTATATCTTACTAGGCTTTAAAGTACTTTTGTACATACATAATTTTCTTCCGAGCCCAATGTGCCGAAATTAATAATAATTATATCGAAATAATTTGTAAAAGCTGTGTAATGTGTCCTTGCAATTGTCATTGATGCAAAATAAAACATTTACTTACTATTTAAATAATTAATTTATTATATTTATATGTTTATATGGATATTTGTGTGACAATATGACAATAATAAATGGCTTTTAAGGAGCTTCGACTCTACATAATATTTATAAATTATAGTGAAAGATACCTCATAATAATGTATGCTTATAAAATATGAATATTATGAATAATTATCAAAATTCTAATTAAAGTAGAGACTTAAGAAAACTGAAACAGAAAAAAAAACATAAAAAATTTAAAAAAAAAAAATACTCTTCTTCGTTGAATATAGACAAGATTAATTAACGTAGATATTAACATTGTATAAGAATGGTGTGTCCTACATTACGCTTTGCACTACTTTATTCGCTCTTCTGTAATGCTTTAATCATGAGGGCAGCCGGTCAACATTTGCTAAAACTAATTAAGCTGTTTAAACAAAACGACAATACGAAAAACTTCGTCATTCATAAAAGAGATAAAGATAAAAACAAGAAACTTTTGCTAGCCTTCGTCGGTATAAAAATGAGGAAACGGTAAAGCCCGCGTTTCGCTCGAAAAATTCTTGGCGCACAAGTACTGTAACGTTATACGTTTGATATGCAAAAACAGGCAAGATTGTATGAAAGTTGAGAGGCGGTAGAAATTGATGAAAAGAAAATTTGCAGTGTCAAAGTTACCGGCATAAAACGCTAACTGATTTCTCTCTTTCTCTCTCTCTCTCTCACTCTCTCTCTCTCTCTCTCTCTCTCTCGCACACGCGCGCGCACGCACGCACGTACGCACGTACGCACGCACACTCTATGTTTCATTCTTTAATTTTTGCACATCGACATCTTTGACGTATTTTTGTTGTATGAAATATTCATTCATTTCTTACATTTACAAAGTTGGTAATATTTGTCACTACTTTGAGTCGATCGAGTTGCAAATTGTATCCACATAAGTTAGCTAACCGTGCACGTGTCTAAAATGCAGATTAGAATTTTACAATTGACAATCCAATACCGAACAACGATATTACAAAATGGCTTCCATCTATGGACAACATAGATAATACACAACATTCTCAGCACAACCTCAATTTCATTCCAACAACTTTTACTCTCGCTTACCTCTAAAATACAAATCTCAATAATTGAATGCCGTATATAAAAAATGGTATTAAAAATATCGGTTGATAATTAAAATTCAGCTAAAAATCTCTCATTTATTTCGATCTTATTCATAAACACGAGCGACCTAAGTACTCATACTTTGCCATTTCATCAACCCGGCTTATATTTTTCTCTTCCTTGAGCGTGAAACAAGTATGACATTTCCATATTCGGTTGGCGAGATACGCGCCGCGTCTGAAATGTATTGCTTTTATTTGAACGTGACACGGTCTCGCCGGATTAATATTAATCCGCGAAACAAGAGAAATATTATACGGAGGCAGCGATAGTTAGTGGAGCGAAGGCTCCTTTATGTAAAATCGGGAGGCCGACGGAAATACGAGAGGCGTGAAGTAACGAAAAATTCCCGGAGCGTAACGTCGGGGGTTGAATTTCCGAGTCGAACTCGGAGCTCGTTTTTCTATGCGTTCACGCCGCGTTCTCACGCACACGCATATGCGCACGCTAAACATACACAAGCCCCGCACAGTCTAGATCCACGTATAGTTGTCAATGGAGCGAAGGGAAAAAGGAGTTAGGAAGGTATCGCGGTGCCTCCCGTTCGAATACCAAAGGCCACGTCTCCGGTACGACAGCGCATATCCGTGACTGTCCGGAGCTGTGATAAAAAAAATGGGAGGGATGGAGGGGGTGGGGGGGGGGACGATACGATTCGCGGTAGGTTCTCTTCAAGACGAAGAGCAGAGGACTCTCCCAGGATCTTAATTGACTAGGATGCGCCAAGGGCCGGAGCCCGTAGTAACACAGCGTAGTAACACGGGATGAAGGAGGACTGCGCTCCTCCTATCATCTCGAACGCCACCGCGATTTGCGTACTTCGGTGGGGACAGTCGCCCGGGTCGGGCAGGGCTCACCTGTCGTCGTACACGAAGCCAGCGTATAGGGTGTTGTAGTAGAGGGCCGCGGCGACGAGGGCGCAGGCTACGGCGAGGAGATCCATGTCGCATCCCCGGGCGGGCCTTCTAACTTGTTGCGCGTCGCGCCGGAGGCGGGCCGCCCCCGGGGCCGCACTCGGGCCGAGTCATCGTTGCGTGAAACACCGCGAGCTCTCGGGCTGACCCGGACGCTCGATCCTCTGGAGGCCGCGATCGCCTACTGGCTCTCGCCCACCGAGCATTAGGAGCTTTATATCATGCCCGAGAGAAGCATCGATCGGATGGGCGCCTGCGCTCCTGCGAACTGCCGCCCGCTCCCTGCCACCGACCTCCGCCTCCTCCTCCGTCGTTCGCCCAACCGTCCCCCCGACCGCGAGAGCCGCGCGCACCTACACCTCGACAGAGCGAGGCCCAGCCTCTCGAAAATGCCGCTGCCGGATGCCGTGGCCCTCGAGTCCTTGGAGGCAGGGGTAGGCGGCGATGGCGGTGGCAGTGGCAATGGTGGTTACGGTGGCGGCGGTGACGACGGCGGCGGTGACGGCGGTGGTGGCGGCGGTAGCTGGTCCAGGGCCTAGTCGCGCGCTCCGTAGCATTTACTTTGTCGCTAGTCGACGCTTCATCCGCCACTCGTCAGATTTTCGATTTGCAATTAGCTGTGCACCGGACCAACACCACTCCCACCACTACCTCCCGTCGCCGCTTTGGCTCTAATCCACTAGCTGGTCGACGTCGACGCGATGCACTTGACTCGAGTGCTTACGGTCAAACGTGAGATACGTGCGTGATAACATCCGTCAGGTCCTCGCGATCTTACCAAGGAAAGAAGAGAACAGATCAACAGACACGACGGATTTTATCATCGAGTTGCTATTCGTTTTTTTCACTCTGGGCGCTTTTTCAAAAATTCTTACCAACTAATCAATGCCTAATGGAAACGCGTAATCTTATAATAATGAACCGATGCAGCGTCTCTTCACTCGCTAAAGAGAGAAAATAGTTATCGCCAAGTGGCCAATTCGCTAATTTCAGAATACACATTTGATCAGTTTTATTATTTCATTTTATTTCACTTACGGACTTCTATACCGATGATTGATAAAATTTTCACCATAGGTTTTGGTAAATTCAAATTGTAATTACGAATTACGCTATACAATGAGAAAAGTATAAAGAATATCTTTAAGCTGACTTACTGAACTAGTTTTCTATTAAGTGAGTATGCATACCATGTAATACATAATTTGTTAAACACTATAATGTAAACGTTTTACAACAACAACAATAATAATAATAATAATAATAATAATAATAATAATAAATCGATCCTAGCTTGAGAAAAAAAAATATTATCATAACGTAACGTTCTTTCATATTAACCAAGTAATTTTTATTTTTTTTTAACTTGTATAAGAAACTTAGTTACCACGTATATAATGATATAAGTAATTGTAAATAATAATAATAATAATAATAATAAATAATAATAATAATAATAATAATAATAATAATAAATAATAATAATAATAATAATAATAATAATAATAAATAATAATAATAATAATAATAATAATAATAATAAATAATAATAAATAATAATAATAAATAATAATAAAGATATTATATTTTAAACATATTTTAATATATATTTAATAAAATAAATATTATTGGAAATATTACTGATAAATCATAGCTCATAAATATAGAAGGACTCGTACCTATTTAATGCTTCCTGTAACTCATATATTGGCTCAACCTATACTAATATGCATTTTTGTCATCTACACATTGACGGGATCATACTGGGGAATTTTTTTTTTTTATTTAAAAAATAAATTCTCTTTAAATTTAAATCGAGAATATATTGAATATTACTAAATTTGGTTATTAAATATATATATTAAATTCCATATTAATTTTAAATACAAGTGTATTATAGTTTTTAATATTGATATTATTGAGAAAAATACGATAAAAATATCTTATCCATAAAATGCTGTGAAATTAAAATTACATCATAATAAGATGAAGTTTGTTTTAATTGGTTTAATTGTAGAATGTATGCGAGCGCGCGCGCGCGCGCGTGTGTGTGTGTCTCTCTCTCTCTCTCTCTCTGTGTGTGTGTGTGTGTGTGTGTGTGTGTGTGTAGGTTTGCGTATATATATATGTTATATATGCATATGTGCGTACGTGTATTTATATGCATATATGTTCGTGTACGTGCATGTATATGTTAGTATGCATATGTGCGTACGTGTATGTATATGTGTATGTGTATATTTAGAATAATTATTGATTAATATTTCGAATAACGTAAAAAATAGTTAACCGTTCATTTTCGTGGAAAATAATAATAAATAAAGAAAAAATATTTTATATAATAAGATATCGGTTCAAAGAAACTTGACCTACATTATTCGAGTAATAACATTATTGCTTTAGACTGGTAATTCGACGAGGGATTTGTGATATATTTATAGAAATTACATAATTGGAAATTACTAGTTAATTAATCAAATGAAATATTTGAGAAAAAAGAATAAGAGTAGATATGAAAATGAGTAAGCAATCGTAAATTTTTAATATGCCATCCTTTCAGTATTTCTGTTTGAATCCAGGAAGATTAATTACCGTTAATTTATAAGTTAATGCTCGAGATAATTAATAGTTTTTTTTATCTTTTCTTTATTTATTGTATAGCAATAAAGAATATTTACTTGAGAATAATCCATTAAGGCAATCCTCAGAATCTCTTCTCCATGAAACTTATAGATTTAAAATTAGCTCGATGCCACAAGAGCTTGTTGCCTAATACCTTGGGGCTGATAACATTATTTAAAGTATAAATAGCTAACCAAGGGTCACCGGCGCCACTATTAACTTTTCACTCCAGAGCCCTGATTTCACTAAGGTAACACTTTGCCCCCGGATTCCTTTTATCTACCCCCGAAAGTGGAAGGTTTCGATCTCGTCCACGACGATAATAAGCCCATCACTGCGCTCGACACCAAGACATTAACCAGTCCCGGAGCAGTGGACGCAATTTTCCTCGAGCAAAGTATATTGAGTTATCCGAGTCCCGTTGCTGCCCCCACCCACCAAACCCATCCACCCGACGTTCACTCCCTCCTAGGAACGAAAGACCTTTATTTCGAGAGCGTGCAAGAACATGATACCGACTCCTTGAAAAACAAGCCGAGGCACAGCAGCCCCGACTTAGATGGCCAGTCACTGGCAAAGAAGAAGAAGAAGAAGCCACCGCGAAAATCACTTCCAACGGCTTTAATGCGCAAAAAGCAAAAACAAGTGCAGGGCATCTTATCCAGTATTCACCCATCCACGGGATCCTCAAGCTCGATATAAATGCCATAAACAGCGGTGGCAAAAGAATTGGAAATTGGCGCTCAAGAGACTCCAGGACTTTATATTAACATTTATCGTTTCTTTTCTATTAATTTTGATATCGTTTTTATTGCACTTATCTCGAGTAATCGACAAAATATTGCGTACTTTATTCTAGACTATATGATATTTCTTTAATTTTTACTTTCGTGTTTTGCGTCATTAATGTAATATTTATCGACGACGGCGTCGAAATCGCAAAGTCAATTGTTAAAAGGCAAAAATTTGATTTTTTCGTATATTTATCACAATGAACGCGTATTTCATAAGTTATTTTGTCAATAATGAACGATTACTGGAAGAGCATCACCAACTTAAGCGAGTATCTTATCATTTAAATAATCCATAGAATAGCATAGTTCGATGATGACAAAATGAATAAATGTCCACACTGCACATACGGAATAATATTTTTTCATTTTAATTTCAATTTCATATTCATGTCATTTATCACATACACTGTATATGTAAGTTTACCTAATACTAAGACAAATACGCCATGCGAGAGTTGTAGTATATTATAATATTTACGATATTAGCATTTATTAATAATCTTTGGTCGGATTCGTATTCGGATACTTGAAATAATACCAGCAAAAAATACAAACAGTGTCAGTACAGATTTAAATTTTACTACTTAAAAATAATTCTTTTTGTTTTTTTTTTGTTTTGCTTTTTAAACTACGTAAATTCCTGCTTTTAAAGTTTTTAACATAAATCGTGCATCGCACTAAAATCAACATTTAAACTCCAATCAGTCTTTCAATTTTACAATTAATCAATTTTCAACGATTGTTACATTTGATTTTAAATATCCTAATGTTTATAGACTTTATCTCGTTATTTAATGATTATCAGTATACTTTATATATTATTTTAATGTAAATACAGGTGCTTTGTTAAATTTAAAATTTACAACCTCCGCAAGGAATATTGGCTTATAATATGATAAAATAATAAAAATTCCAGCCCCAGCCCCAGCGTCAGCAAAAGCTAAAGCGTTTGCCGCAGGTTCTAGATAGGTGTCCAATCAGATTCTCGTAGTGCAAAGTCCTCGGCGATGATCAACTCCTAAACTTCAGAATATTGACAGATACATCAATGGCCGACCAACCGAACAAACGATAATTTAATCTAGATTACAGTAAAACGTTACAAGCTATTTTTCGATAGAGCGCAATAAAAAAAAAAACAAGTATATTTGAAAATTCAAAAAGCTTATGTATGGTAAAAGACGAACTTTGGAAAATTAAATATTTTCCATGCATTTATTAAAGAAAATAATTTTATTTGTATTGCATGAATTAATTTTTATCAATTTTATTTGCCTCTCTATGCTCGACATGAATACAGATGACCGTACACTTACATATTTATACAGAAGCAGTCATTTGCAATAAAATTCCATTTTGTATTACTCTATATAGGGATTAAGTATCTCTTGTATTTATATTTCGAATTGGTAACATATGTAAGAGCAATTAATTTAATTCATTAATACTTATTATTATTGGTATATATATATATATATAAATATATATATAGGTCAACAGCGAGTATCCTTCGAATTTAATGACATGACGTACAATAGTGTTTAATGAAGATTCGTGTTAATATCGATTTACAAGATTGTTTATATAATTTGTAAGTAGAATTATCTTAATTCCCTAAAATTTAATGATTTAATCAAAAATATATTATTTATCGCCCGACTCACCGCTTCATTAAGTAAAAAAATAAGGAATGGAATACCATTTATTCATCAAAAGCTATGCTCTTAACTAATATTTAAAATAAATTTTCATATAGAAAGCAATAATTTGGAACAAAAATAGGTGTATCACTTGAAAAATAGTATAATCCACGGTCTGTTCATGAAGCCTTGAAGCAAATTGAGGTACGGATTAACTTCTGGAAGTAAAAATAATAATAATAATAATAATAATAATAATAATAATAATAATAATAAAAGTATACATTTCATGAAGAAAAATACAAGAAATGAAAATAGTTTTAGACAATTTTCAATTAGAATAAACGGAAATTGAAAATCAATAATTTTATTTAAATTGATAATATCTTCGTAGAAATAACTTTGTAAGAATACAATTACAGAGAATTCTCATTATGGAAAATAATTCGATTTAACTACATCTGTTTCGTTAGTTAAAAAAATACAATCGTTTTATGCTTTCTTATTTAATGTCCTTCGTTTATTGTATCATTTCAATTTTTTATCTTGCATAGTCGACCGTGAAGAAATATATTGATTTGTAACGTCCATAAAATTAATATTTAAAAATGGTGGGAAACAACAAAAAATCAGACAAAAAAATCTCAATTTTAAAATTGTTTCCTCTACATAAATCGCACTATCCAAATAATAAAATCAAATAAATATTGTTCCATCAATTGTTACTATTATTTTTATCTTGGTCTATAAAATATTTTATGAAAAATTAACTGAAAATAGTCATTTGAATAAATTCTAATTTCAAAAACGTAAATTGTATGCCGACTCATCAGCAATAAATAGTGTGAACACTATAATTATAAAGTGACATCAATACTTATTAAATTCTTCAATTAACACGAAATTTTACTTTAATATTTTTTTCGTCGTTTAATGCAAAAAAATTAAGTTAGATTTTAAAAGAAAAAATATTATCGACCGTTCTACTAGAGTATAAACACGTGACTATCTACGAATAAGGTAAAATACGAATCACTATTAAAACACTTTCATCTTTAAACAAAAATTTTGTTTAACTTAGTTATAACCTAAGTGCAATTAATTTCTGAAATACTAATAAATACTATGAAATAATTTTCAACTTTCTGCCACCTAGGTAATAAAACCTAAAACACATTGAAAATTTTAGTGCATATTCCACTCGAATTTCCCATATACTCATCATATTTTTGTCATAACTTTAGTTCTTTATATATGTATGTATATATCTTCTTCATTTTTTTAATAAAAAATTCAGATACTAAATTTCAAAGAATTTTACTACCCCGTTGAAAAATTATTATCGTGCATATACAATGCATTAAAAATTAATTGAAGTTTTTGAAAATAAAGGTATTATCTCTAACTCGAATTTTAGGTATTTGTTAAATATCACAAGTATTTTTACGAAAATTTTATGAAATAAATAAATATATTATATAATACAAATTTTTATGGAATGCTGAGCACTTATTCCGCATAGTTTAATAAATATGATGATCTATAAAATTTAACTGAATTCTTTGTTCAATTCTATTTAATTAGTATTTCTTATGTGAAAATATTTATAAATCTATTCGTAAATATATTAATTAAAAAAGAAACAACGATTTCTAATAGTAAATAATTTATCATCTTAATGTTTTATCATTTAAAGCGAAAAATACTTACACGTCTACACTGCTAAATCTACAATCATAATTGTTATGATTAGTTGTTATTATATCTTCCATTAAATATATTTATGACAATGTAAATTACTCTTAATTATTTGAAAAATGAAATAAAAATTAAATTAAAATACGTCAAAGAATTTCACCTTATAAATAAAAATAATATTATTTCAGCAAATTATTATTCAATAACGTCGAATGATTAAATCAATATGTCTAAAATATCGACTATAAAGTCGAAAGTCTTGAAAAACCTAATTAAACTCCATAATTTTAATCAAAATTTTAAATAACCAAAAAAATTAAACATAAAATAAAGTAGAAACTAAAAACAAAAATTTTTATAATGATTTTATATAGGAATTTATATAAGAACAAAATAACTTTAATAAGTGTAATTTAAAAATTGGCAATACAATCCGTTTTATCAAATTAAAACCTTAAATATACTATAAATAATACGATATCTCAATAATAATTTAATAATACGCTATTTTAATAATCATCAATGAACGTGCACCAAGTTAATGTTTATATTTTCTTGAACTGACAAGAATATCAACTTCAATCAAAACTCTATTAAAATTAGTCGAAATTCCCAACTTCGGTTAAGTTTGTTAACTAATTGAGACGAGAATTCCATTTGCTTGTTGAAAGATTTAACTTCGTTTCATCCCTGTGAGCTCAGATACGATGCGTAATTGTTTTGAATAAAAAAAGAAAAAAAGAAAAAAGAAAAAGAAAAAGATTTAATATTATTAGCTACTTTAATATTTTCTTAAAATTGCCTAAATCCAATAAATTGTACATTTTATAAGAAACTTATGTATGCAATATTTCAAAATGGTAATATATAATTATATAAAATTCTGATATTTATTTACGTGAAATAACATAAAATACATTAAATATAAAAATTTTTGCGCAGATGAATATTGAATTGACAGAAAAATGACTAGATTCTTCGTTTTCTTTCATTAAAGCACAATTTAAAAGTAAAAGTAATTCTATAAATTCAAAAAACCAATTAAAAAAACTATCTGATCCTCTTAGAGAAATTCCTAGAAATAAGATAAGCGGTTAAATTAATTGGGAGTATAATAATTCTATTTGTTTTCATTCCTAAATCATATTTAATTCTAAAAGTCGAATAGAAAAATTATATTGTACAAAAAAATTCGCGCTCGTCTACATTTTCCACAAAATCAATAACTAATACGACAAAGAAAGATCAAATGTTCACAATATATTTGTAATATAAAAATTTTATTCTCAATTTTATGTACTTTAAATATCCACATATTATTGATTAATTATTATCCACGTACTAATAAATGTTTTGCAATATTTCCATTCTTTGATAATTTATCGAGATAGCCGCTTTTAAACTAGAAATACAACTATACATATGTACAATTGAATGTCCGAATGAGTAATTAAATGTAAACTTAATAATCCCCTCAAAATTAATAGTATACAAGGGGGCGAATATACAAAATGTTAATAATTAACGTTTGCGATGAAACATGTGGAATAATAGTAATGTGAAACATGTGCAATAATATAACAAATTCATTGATTCACCAATTGTTGTTATTACATTGATAGAAAATCAAACATATAACATTATTATTCATTCACGAATTTAAATGTATTTTAAAATACAAATTATCATAAAGCAAACATTAATTTCAGTGGAACTTTATTATTGGGCATTTTCTGAGTTCTCTATTATGTCTTGTATATCTATATATTAATCTGCATTATATATCAAGACTACAAACAATATATTAATTTTTCTTATTCGTTAATTTTTCTTATTTGCAAACTCTAATTGTTGAATGTTGATCCGAGTCAATCGCAACTTTTTCTATTTACTTCTACTAGCGCTAACTGTGGCGAAAATATGAACACATTATAGGTTATGATTGAAAGGTTAGTTCTGTGATGTAACCGAGTTTTTTATAAAAAAGTATTTTATATATAAAAACACTTTTTTAAATAAACTTCAATTATATTGAATTATTAGAAAATTTAAGGTAATATTATTAAGTTTTGTCACTCATTTATAATCTTATAATAGATTAATTGTAAATAAGTAAACATAAAAATAATATATCCATAAATGTTATAAGCTCTAAATTATTTGTATGGTTAAATAATTATATTATTTTTTAGCAAATATGATGCACATGTCACCATCGAGAATTCTTATAATGTCGAATATTGGTTGTCGGTTATCAAGGAAACTTCATTGTAATCCAATTATGTGCATAGACATAAAATGGAGAGAGGAAAATAAATTACCTATTAATCCAAATTCTTTTGGCCCTTTAACTAATCTGCCGGATTATTCATTCAGCGATGGTAGAGTTGTTCCATACAGTACAAGGCAAAAAAATCGAATAGATAAACAACGAGAACTACTTATAAAAATGAAGCAAATGATTAGTGAAATTGACTTTGCAGTTGTAAGACACGAGCAACTTAAACTGAAAGCTGAGCAAGAGAAACAGAAAATTATAAGTGCTAAATTGAAAAAGAAGAATATCAAATTTCTTGATTTACCACCTAAAGTGTTAAATGTTAATAGCGTCATTACAAATAATGAATCTAAAGAAGCTAAAGAGAATTAACAAATATACTGCAATGAAATAATTTTTACAAAAAAAAGGTCATCGATTGTTCAGCAATAGTTTATTTGTAATTTTTTAAAATATAGGTGTATATATTTTCTATTTCTTAAAATTCTTTAAAAAATTGGTAATTATAATTAACAATAAAAAATTAAATATATGTTTTAAACAAATCAAAGATGGAAGATGTGATTTCCAGATTATGATTTGTGTAGTAAAGTTTCAGTTAGAATCCAATAATAATAAAGATAAATTATTATCTTTAATATTATTTAAATAAAATAGTTAGAAAAGTTATAGTTATATAGAGTACTAAATTAATAAATATCCATATATATTTTTTAATTATCATCATAATATATTAAATAAACATAATAAATATACAATTGAATAGTATATATATATATATATATATATATATATATATGTATATGTATATATATATATGTATATATTTATATATTGATTAAGATTATTAATTATGAATTTATTTTCAAATTTAAAATTTCATAAAAATTCATCGCTATTTTTACAAAAATATGACTATTTAAAGCAAACCCTTTCGAGTTATTAAATTCGTAAAGCTTCGGAAAAGTCGATAAATTTTGTAAAACTTTGACTCCAATACGTGTAATCTAATTTTAACTTACTAATAATTATATACGTCAGTTTAAATTTATTCCTAATTATTTTAATTTTCTGTTATTAACAACAATTCAACATTTATAATCATAATTTCTTTGCTTTTTGATAAGGTATTAAGAATACTTACATACTATTTCAATCAATTTGATTATTAAATTTAGTCAACGAATCACTTAAATAAGAAAAACAATGTTTCTTTTATGTCATAGTTTTAGTATTTTTCTAAATTATTTTCTATATGTATTCCAATTAAAAGAAATCTATATGAATAAAATATTTTGTTCCTCTTAAGCATACATCGAAATGATTGTTTCTTTAATAAACATTTTTAATATTTTTACATTTAAGAGTATTATATTTATGTTATGAAACAATAAATCTGGAAAATCAGACTGTCAGACTATTAAACTTAGTATTATTACAAATACAAATCATATTATCTATATGTGGTAAGATGGTAAAAGTTTTGTTTTTCAATTACATTGAATAGAATTACGTACATTTATTGCATAATAGTGTCCAAGATTTTAAAAATACATATTGTACAAAGAGGAATTATTCTCACAGAATAACTGTACATAGAGATTGAGTAAATTTAATTAATTGATTGATTTAAAAAATAGTCTGTTTCATATTATGTTAATCCTAATAGTTTTTTTTCAAATATTACATAAAAATATCTTCAAATACAAAAGAAAAATATTCAAGCCGATTAATAAAATGTTGCTAAATCAATTTTTCTATATTGAAATATAACAAAAATATATCGAAATGAAATATTTTTACTGTATACTTTGTTTATATACACAGTAAAATGTTTTAAATTCAGCATTGTACATATAATTGTATAACCTTCTATTATTTCGTTCTATTTATCCTTAACTTTTATCTTATCACTATTTTATTTTCTTAAAATTTTCTATAATTTCCGAAATATAAATAAAATTTTTTGAGAAAATCTTAACAATTTACCAATACAAGAAAGATTTGTTATATAACATCGTACCTACGATTATTAATTTATTTCATATTAAGTTTATTCTTTCCGATCTTATGTGTATTATTATGTAAAAATAAAATTTATTTGAATTATTATTGTTACTTTAGTAAATTTATGCAAAAATATTTCTTTTTATTATTTATTTCTAAAATTATGATATACATCTTTTATTTTATTTAGAACTGTTTCAATATTAATTGACATAATTTCAATTTTCTTATTATACTCATAATTATCTAAGTGATAGAATGATTTGAGCCAGATATTATTGCTTATGTATAATTTAATCCTCTGCATTGTTTTTAAGATTTTTAACATAATGTTTATTTGCGATGTCATCTCATCTTAATGATTATTTATTTGTATTATTTTCTAGTTCTAAAATTGATAATGACAATGTCTATGCATGAATTCGTATATTTCAATAATTCGATCTTTACAATATAATGATTAAGGCAAATATTTTTTAATTTTAAATTATACATAATTTTCAACTCTATTACAATAGATAGCTATTATACTAGAATCATAGGTGTTGAAAAATGAAAGAGATCTCAACAACATTACCAAGTTTTTATAATATATTTATTGTTGATCATTCATAATTTCGGCCTACTTATTATTATTATTACAATTTCCGAGAACTATTTATTTACTTTGCCACGTCAATATTTCTGCAATCGTTTATCAATTTACATTGCTTGAGTTAACACATCGATATTGCATGATTCTCATCTTTAATTAAAAATTGTATTTCACAATTTTAATAAAACGTACCTCACGGACCCCTAATGAACATTGGAGGATGACTTTGTGAAGTCGTCGCTGACTAGCTAAAATTGTGCATCAGGTACCGTAAATATATGATTCCATAGTCCCAAACAATTAGCCAGGGTATAAAGCGCAATAATATTGCAGAAGCCGTTAGTCACTATCTAAATCACGAAATACTTTTTCATACATTTGGTACATTTTTACCCTAACTTTCTTAATTCAAACTGGCAAAGAGAAAGCGCTACTAATTAGCCACTAGGAAGATGATAAATACCATACAATTGACTGCTATTTTAATCAAGTATTTTTTATCCAAATGAGTTTAAAAAATGTAAAATATTATGTTGAAAGGAATGTTATGAAAACATTAAAAAATATAAAGAAGATAAATGTGTTAATCTTTGCAAATCCACTATTTTTATAAACCAATTATCCAAGCATAATGTATGTAATAATCATGTACAAGAGTCGATTAGTAGATAATATAATATTAAAGACCGCTGAATAAGATAATGTTATGCTCAATAACTCTTACATTTATATGAAACTGATATTATTATATTCTTAGTACTCTATATATGTTCTTATACTCTTATATACACAACCACACTTAATTTTCAACGTATGTATTCAATATAACCAACTTCTATTTATAAATTAAGGATATTAACACTTGATTCGGAAGTTTATTTGAAATAGATAGAGTACCTTGAAAACTAGGTAAACTATAATCTGATTTACGATTCATAGCTTCAAGAAGGTAAAATTTTGAAATAAATACTAATTTAATTTAAAATCACTTTTATATCTTCCATATAAAAAAAAAAATATATATATATATATATTTAAAAATTTCAATGCTTTTTTTAATTGAATTATCTGTCACATACTTAATGAAGATTTAAAGAATTTTAATTCTTTTTTAAAATAATCTATTTAACAATATGAAAATTATATAATCAAAACTAAATATAAAATATAACTATATTTTCAATCGGTTATTTTAAAATGAATTCGATTGATCAAAATTACATTTATAATAATCTTTATCGTTTCAAATTCGACATTTAAATGAAATAAATAATTGACATACTAAATATTCTATTACAATATTTATTATTAAAACATGAAAATCATATTGTTAACACTTGTATTGTATTGTAAATGGATTTATAACAGTCACTACCATGCCACTTTTTAAATATAATGTAAACAGCAAGTTTCATTATTGAAAGGTTCAGTCGAGATTTTATATTAAATGATTTGTAGTAATTTAATTATTATTTTGGAAATATGATTTTTATAATTTATTTAAGAAATATCCTAATCTTAAATAAATATTTATATTTTGAATGTTAACGTACTATCTAAATATATATTATATGCGATTGAATAAAAATTCTAATAAACTCAGTCAAAAAGAAATGCAAAATATTTATAAGTAAAATTTTCAATTCGCTCGAGTCAGCTGTGAAAATATTAAAATATATATATATATATATATAATTCCAGAATTTCTTTAATTAAGATCGCTTAAGAAAGTCATACGAGATTGCATTTAGCAATACAACCGAAACAAATCTTCTATCACTAATACAATAAAATAAACCTTCTCAAATACTATGTGCAACAATCAGAACTTTAGCGATATTGAGAAAACAGAATTATATCGAGTAATCGACTGAAAATTAATTTCTAAAATTCTCTTAAGCATGCATTAGGTAAAATATTTCATATACCTCTCCAAAAACATATTTTCATTAATTAGTAAATAATAAGCAAAAAAATAAATAAATAAGAATAATGATATAAACTGCTTATAACATATGAGTAATAGGGAGAAATTTAACGAAGTAAAGCTTTGAAATGTACAATGAAGACTTTTTACTGGTCGCCTAGTGAGAAAAAGCAATAAATTTGCCCTGAAAATGTTAATACTTGTCAAAGTAAGCGTTTCATTGCATGTTAAAAACTTGCGAACGGTTGAGTTTCTTTTACGTTGGTATACCTAAGAAAATCAGTAGGAGGTCCATGGCGTGCAGGAAGTTGGCTTTACCTGTTGTAAGCGTGTGTGAATGGGGAAATTTATTACTCTGCTATTCTAAAGGCATTATATATGCGTAATTAAACTTCATTCTTCGTAAACTACGTATCATCCACTAAAACTATAAAAGCACTAAGTAATTGGTGCTCCAATAATATTTTATTAAAGATTTTAAAACAATGCAGATAATAATGTATTCTCTTGGAGTTCTCTTTAGGTAGCGAAATTATAATAATTATATAAGCATTTGAGTATATTCAATGTATAAATTTATAAACAATGTAATATATCGTTATTAAGCATTTCAGAAATCATTGTTTTTATTTTTAATTTATAGCGATGAATGTTGTTAATTTTATAATTCCTATTATTGAATATAAATTGTGATATAATTATATATCATATTATACATTTGATTTATTATATAATCTTAGAATTATCCCATAATTATAGAGAAGAAATTTGAATCGTCCAATAAGAAGTATTTTACATTTCTTTAAATTATATAATTATAAATATTCAACAAATTATTAGCAAAAATTAATTCAATATTCCTGTTCACTTAGAACATAATTCATTCATTCATTCATTAGAACATAATTAGTTGAACAAATTACATTTTATGTTTTGTATGTTCCTAATTTCATTTTCTAAAGTTTCTTCAAATGTAAATAATTTAATGAAAAAATCCTGCTCTATACTTAAATAATATAAATTAAACATTAATGCATATTATTTCAATCAAATGGAAAGTAACCATCCAACTTGTCCTATTTAGACATTTATTAAAATCTATAATTTGATAGTAACAAGCAATTAACTTACGAATAATTAAAGACAACTCAATTAAATAAGTATATAGCATTACGCTATCTGCTCTTAAATCACATAATTATATATATATATATATATATATTTTTTTTTTAATTTTTTAAATTCTTTATGAATTGTAGCGTCGCAATTGTATTTAATATTCGTAGATGAGTATTAGTAGATTTATAATATTATATGGCATAGTTTTATGTAAAGATAAAAAATAAAATTATGTTATTTTAAATAATAAAAGTAATTTAGTATGTGATATTTTCCTAATTTTATGTTTTGAATAAAGCGATATATTATGACTATAAGCTCCTCTAAATATCTTCTAGTCTCATATAATGATAATAAAATTTTCTTAAAATTTATACATAAAATGGCATGACAGGCACTTAAATATTAATTTATAATATGAAATATCGAATAGAGCAACATTTTTACAAACTCATTTATTAAAACGTTTAATTCAAATATAATCAGAATAATTTAGCGATTGTATTTTTAATTATGAAATGAATAATTTTCATTAAAATTTAATTAAGTGAAATAATTTGATTATTATTAATCGTTTATGTTTTTATTGAAATGTTCATTAGTTTTATGTAAAAAGATAGTGAATGTTACTCATTATAAAATGGTTTTTAGTATGGTCAAAGGATTTAAAGTACGATTTACCGTATTTTGATAAATTTGTTAATGTGATATAGAAGAATTCGATTCGTCGCCCGGCATTTTTATCGTAATATGCTTAAATATGTCGCCACTTATTAACGAACGAATGTCATTAAGTATTAATTTAATACTGTTAAGAAGTATAATTATTGTAAAATAAATATGTAATAAATATTTTGTAACTAAACTTTTATAATTCGCTCTTAAGATTTTGTAAATGTTACTGGAAGTTTGAATGGAATGTAAATTGTATTTCATCGCGTAACTCAATGAAAGAAATTTAAAGAGTGTTCTAAAGAAATAAATCATAATTATAGGAATTTCTTAAATCAAGAAGATATATTTCAGTTGAAATAGAATTTTAAAATATCTTAGTCATTCAAAAAGTAAGCTATGCACACAACCTAATTGGCAACTAAATATTTTACGGTACTATAAATAATGACAAATTGCTGACGGAGTGTATATTTATTCAATTGTAACAAAGTCAAACCCCACAGTTATGTAGTAAACTAAAAGGAAGCGATTTGTCGTGACCCGATATTCACGGAACATTGGAATATTCGCACACGCTTAATCATCATCATCATCATCGACGATGCATATGGTTGTAATTATTATCAATGAAAATGGTCCGTCGCTACCAGTTACATCGGTAATTTCCTAGCGGCTCCGGAAAGTCACCACGAAGAAGACGACAAACTATAAATAACATAGACATGTACAAGAAGATAGATAGGTAGAGGGACATTTATTTAAAGACATACGTCGGCACATATCGGCACACTATTGATAGTCAGCCGAGCGCAAATCCTCCGAGACCCCATTGGATAAACGTCGGAGGTGGCTTGCAAAAATTTGCCGTCCCCTGGAGAAGAGCGCGTCACCCTAGTTTTTTTCTTTCTTTTTTATTCTATTTTCTTTTTTCTTTTTTTTTTCTTTCTTTCTTTAACATCACCTCCTCGTTTTCATCATTTGGAGGTCACTTTACCGACTGTGTTATTTATGTATCGCGCAATGAGTCTTGGTTCACCGGAGGACCTGTGCCGATAATTACAGGCTGATCGTCGTGTAATCATAGCATCCATACTCCAATGCACTTTGTACATACTTTGTATAATATGGGCCTCGTTAGCCTACTGTCGCCATGACGATTGCTCTTCAACTGTAAAAGTCTATACGGCCGGATCGTTTCGGGGAAACTGCTAATACTCACGTTCCTCCCGCAGCCAAGGACCAGAGCTGAGAATCCTTGAGAGCTAAGCGGCCCTGGCAGAGTCCGGAAATCCATTTGCTCCTCGCCTTAGCGGATTTCGTATAGCGAATAATTTTCATTCATTTAAGTCCCGTAGAGACCCTTGGCGCATCCAATTAAATTTTAATTAAGATTTTAATTAATCGGCATCGTATCCGCCAAGCCTACGATAAAAAAATATACTGTTTATTATAATACGGCGCTGCATGGTATCGTAATTTTTTACGCCTAACGTTATTTCTCGCATTCTTATTTCTCGCTGCAAACGTTTCATTTAAATATAAAGTAGGATGATCGCATTTGGGTCGGATATCGAATGTAGATCAAAAACATTCCATCAAGCTTCGCTCGTGAAACTTGCCTGCGGAATAAAGATGTCGGCAATAAAAATTTCCAGAGACGAGGAATTTAGCGGCGTTTAAAGACTAAAATGAGCAAATTGCCAATTCCTTGTTTCATTGGGGAGCAAGCGAAAAGACTCGATCCAAAAGCCCAGAACACTCGGAGAAAATACAATTGGCGCTCATAGCCAATTTTACTCGGTAGATTGAAAGAGCTCGTAAAAGTAAAGAAAAATTAAAACCATTCTCATTAAATTCATATTTGCTATAAATTAAATTAATCAATTATCATCATAGTCTGTTATTAGATACTGGAAATACGCCTTAATAGCCTATCGTTCTCAGTGTCACGGGCACATGGAAAATAAGAGCAACATAACACGTCGATAATATCTATATATATATAAGTGTAGGCAATAATGGACAAATAGATTGGCAGTGGACAGGTCCGATTTATATGAGCGCACTGATTATAAAGATGATGCGCCATCGTTCGTCAGGCAATGCAAAATTTACGCAACAGTTGCCTTCCTCGGAATATCAGCGGCTGACGCATGTCACGCTCGAGCCTCTCAAGTGCTCATCGAACGGCATAACGATATCTCAAGGGTAACGGGCTTAGAGAGCACGCTGGAGCCCCCGATTACACGTGCAATAACACTCGGGCGGCAAAGTCCGCGGCGCGGGTCACTTCAAGGTCGCCGCTGAAAAACGGGAGCGCGAGAAAGCGAGTACCGGCCGAGGGAGCAAAAAGTTTTTAGCGCGAGTGCCGCCGATACATATCCAGGCTAACGAGTCTCTCTGGGACAAGGATGCCGGAGTAGGGAAGCGCTTTCCGGGAGCTGCGGCGAGGTGAGCGTCGCCGGGTGTGCGGCAGTCGTCTTGGCGCGAGCGTCTTCCAGCGGGCAATGAGCGAGCGTCGGCTCATTGGCGGCCTTATCGCCGTCGTGTTCCTCATCGCGAACCCTGGTGCAGCCAACGAGAGCAGCGACGCTTACCTCCGCAACGTCGTAAGCGAGTTGCGACTGATGAACGAGCTCCCGGCCCCGGCCGTGCAAGATAGACGAGCAACCGCTGTACCCATACACGAGGAATATGATCATCGACAGCAGCAACTAGAGCAGCAGCAACAGCAGCAACTACAGCAGCATCAGCAGCAGCAGCAGCAGCAGCAACGGCAGCAGCAACAGCAACAACTGCAACTTCAGCAACAGCAGCAACTTCAACAACAGCAGCAGCAGCAGCAGCAGCAGCAGCAACAGCAACTACTACAACAGCAACAGCAACTACTACAACAGCACCAGGTATTTCTCAAAGCCTATTTAATAGGGGTGGGTGGGTGGGGGAAGAGGTGCGAAAACGCGAGGATAAACATTATAGCTATAGCATTGATCAACAGGTTACCCCGAGGAGGCCCGAGGAGACGGTCCTCGGCTTCTCTCCCACGGAGCTCGCCGGCATGTACACGAGGGCCATTGAGCGGGGCACTCCTGTCAAGTACGCTCCTTTTATAAATACGCTTAATCAGCAGATGCCAAATGTGAGAGGCAGGTACGAGCTTACCGAAGTAGCTGATCGACCGCATCCTGGAGATCTTCAGTACGCTTATTACTTTTATCCGCTACAAGCCTTTCATCATGAGCTGACTAATCAGCATGGATATAGGACAGTGGTATGGACATTCCTTAATTGCACGTTTAGTAGGCTCTTGCAGCCTTAACCAATTGGTTATCTTCAAATTTTCTTCCGTTTATCACGATTTGAACTCGCCTCTCTGTATCAAAAGTTATATACTCACCGAGTAGTTGCAGTTAACTCATAAAAAATTACTTCTACAGCATTTATTATACCGATAAGTACACATTTTCCATATGCTCATCAAACACGAACAAAATATGAATATACATAAAGCCTTCCTTTCATTTAACTATAAATTTATAATAATAATAATAACGAACCGTGTAAATCATAATTTGACCATTCGTTCGGTTAACTATTTGCAAATAATCGAGCTTGATTTAATGAAAAATTTTTAAGCGCTTGGTTCATTAGCTGCTTGGAACTGGTATGGGGCTTTTAATTAACGTGGAAGAAAAATTACATCTTTGCACGTCATGAAAATCAGAACTGATTGCTTGGCTTGTACGATTGATATTAGTAACGGTAAACAGCCAGTCTATGGCATCTGCGTGATATTAAAAAAAAAAAAAAAAAAAAAAAAACTCTATATTGATAAATGCAAATTAGATTACGATCAAGATATATAATTGTAATAAAGTGCCGCATACGCTTTCAATTAATAAGAAAATAACAATAACTTATAGTGCTTAAGTGACTTTTACGTTATACAAAAACTGATTTTCTTAGATGGGGCATAATTTATGTGTATCAAAAAAGTCGCAATTAAAATAAAAGCAGGTGAATTTCATCTTTACAATTAATTGGAAAATAAATCATTATGCAAATCGAACGGCTAGTGCCAGCTTGATTGTATTTTACTAATGTTTATGTTTACGTTAATATATATATATATATATATTACACAATTAATGTATAAAAAGACATTCAATTATTAGTAAATTTAGATTAAAAGAAAATAACTTTAAGAATTAAATCATAAGGGTAAAAATATAAGAAAAAAAAGTATCTATTATGCGCAATCTTAAATCGTCTTACTCTCTAATTTTAGTTCGTAAGTCTGCTATATAATCCACTGACTCGTTTTGAATTTAAATTAGTTATAAAAAAAATTTAAATATTCAAGATAATACAATAAGAAACAAAAAGTTACTAATATTAATATAACTCAATATATCTAAAGAGCACTTATTTGAAGAAAAGAACATTAAATAAAGTGTACTTTTTGTTAAGGCTTGGAAAAATCTATTTAAAATTTAAAGCACTTTTAGATTCTTTCGTTTAAAATGCGCCATAAATTAAGCTTTCAAAACTGTACACCTTTTTATAAAAATTCATATATATATATATATATTATCAGCTGTAATAACTTTTAGCAAAAATGTTTATACGTATTAAATATAATGTACGATAAGATCTGAAAATATTGCAAATCCTAGCAAAGTTTTTCTAATCTAAAAAGTTGAAATTACCATTACTACAGAACCTTAAATTGGCTAAATTTGTTAAATTTCGATTAAAAGATTTCTGAATATAAAGTATCCTTGTCCGAATGAACATTTTTAAAATGGCTCCATGTGGTAATAAATTTTAATCTGTATATACGAACGAGTGATAGTTGTCAGTTTAGATGACAATAATTTGAAAAGCTGATTATAAAATACATAATTCATATTAACTTGGGAATTATGAACTAAATTTGATTATATAATTTATTTAAATATTGTATGTATATGTATATATATATATATATATATATATATATATCAAGAAACATTATTCCGTTAAATTTTAACTACATCCCCGAAACATTATTAAGTCGCGGTATAAGTTTACGTATATAAGTGGAAATTTTATTTAAAACATCTGAAAATTAATAGCCATTACTTTAAAAACTTTATATCAAGCATTTTAATAATTCTTCAATGCCTGAAAAAAAATACAAGTTGCTTTATCTATCTATCTTCAACGTATAAGTCATAAATAATAAATGCCAAATGTTAATATATCAACTAATCGATTAACATAATTTCTTCTAAGCAAACAGGAAAAAAGGATATTCGAGTTTTGTTTTGTTTTAGTCATATTCTAAATTATCTACTAATCGCATGAAATTAGAAAGTAATATTTCCATCATTATAATACATAATAATAATTAAATTCTTACGCTTGAGAATATATAATAGAAAATTTTATAATTCAATTTGTTGGCAAAATGAAAAACTTAGCCCCACTACTGTGTGTACAAAATGTGTAAAAAATGTGTAAAAAAAAAACTTATAAATACGGAATAAACATATTTATTCTATCGAAAAAATTTATTCTGGTTTTTAAAACGGAAAGCTTACATGGATATTAGTTTTTTTTTTATTAATGTCTATGTTCCTGCAAGGAAATGTGTCAGGCAAAAGCCTTTATCCGTTATACGTGATAAATGGTAAGCAGTAAGCCTAATCGAGCTGCTAGCATATCCAAGTAACTTTCTATCTTATTGGAGATGAAAATTATAATCGTAAACCTAATCATTGAAGAGCATTAGATTTTCGTACGTACTTATGTGTTCATCGTCTAAACTAATGGACGAAACTACTGTAATTCTGCTATAGAACTACTGCGAGAGCATTGATGCAATCATCTCCTGGCAGAAACATAATTAAAGTTTCTAACAGAACACGTAATTTCTACCGCACAAATTACGATGGGTTTATTACTGCAGACATTTTTTTGTAAACAAGCAAAACGCACACAAATAACTATTTTACGTGTAGACTTTTTGCGCTATCTAATCTCTCTCTCTCTCTCTCTCTCTCTCTCTCTCTCTCTCTTCCTCGCTTTCTCTTTCTTTTGGTCTCAATTTGCATATTTAAGATCCTCAAGGCCTATTATTATTAATTTACATTAATATTATAAATATTTATTATTGAAAAATGTGCAGACTTTTAAAATATATTTATATAAAAGAAAAACATCTAATAATAATAGTCTTATATACTATCGCATCACGATTCTTGAATGGTACTTGTAAGAAATCCTAACAGTATTATTCCGATGAATGAAATAATAAATTATTACTTTTAGTATTTCTAAACTTCTGTTTCTTTTACTATTTCTATAGTCAAGAAAATAATGCATAATTTAAATTTATATATTAATTTACAGCTATATCGTTATTCGATATATATATATATATTTAAATTGATTATATAAAATACGTATAGCGTAAGTTAGTAAGATTTAGAATGAAATGTGATGTTATTTTATTTTTTTCAACATCCTTCCTTCGGTGGAAAATAATTAGTTCACAGAAAATTTTAAATAAGACAGAGTACAATATATGATGATAAAGTATAAATATTATCAATTTAAAATGGAGATATATAAGATATTTTTATCAATCTTACATTTTAATATTTTAAATGAATTTGAATTTCCGAAGCATAATTTTAAATAACCAATTTTATATTTGAATATATATTTGGTAAAACAATCGCTCAAAACATATTCTATATAAAAACATTAAATATTTTAGCTAGAATAATCAAAATTTGTGAAGCATAATCAAATGTAAATAAATAGAATTTAAAATGATTTAAAGGAATATATACATAAAAGTATGGAACCTTGATACTTAGAATGTAAAATATTTTAAATTTTAAAGAAAATCATTCAAGCGACAATAATATAGTATATAATGCAAATATAATAGAATAATGAAATATCTTCTATATAACTGTGTAAAGAGAACGCTAGGTTAAAAAAAAAAAAAAAAAAAATACCGGTTACAAATTGCAAATTTTTCTGAACAGCAATACAATACGTTAAAATTAGTATTGCAAAATATCTGTGTTATATGCAAAAATGACACCATTTTTCTTTTCAGCCCAATTTCAAATATGACTCGGTGCCAGCTAAAAGCAGTAAGAAAGATATGAATGCCATGAATCCGTTACTAGTAGGCATAAGCAGCTTCATGGGAATGGCTTTATTTTTTTTGCTCAGTTTATTTTTTTATCCTCGATTTATGCACTTTATGCATTTTCCTTTCTTCAATACATCTAGGACTATTTTTCAAAATGAACTCACAAACCTCACGGCTTTTGTCACTGAAGCTATAGATTACTATAATAAGAACATGAGAAAGGTAATGTTTTTCTCAATAATTTGTCATTAACTAACTAACTTTAAAATTATTTGAAACTTTATCAATTAATAGTTTTCTTACAGGGCTCAAAACGGTCATCTTTATAAAATTATGAGATCATAACACAGGAGCATTTTGTTCGAATGGCCATTCTAAAAATAAGCATTGTAATTAGTTATTGGTTAATCAAAATTATTAATCGACATCATGGAACATTGTTTAAATGTTTGTAAGAAACATAATTTCAACTTTTTCAATATGCTTTACGTACCTTAAGTGTTGAAAATAAAAATTAAATGAGCAAAATAACACATCATGTTTAATGTATGAAATAAGGAGAGTGAAGGAGTAACAAATTTATGTAAAACATTTTATATTTAGTGTCCAGTGTTCAGTTTTATTAATACAACTCTTCCGGGTTCTGCCTATTCGCTGTATTTGTATGTATAATTTTTTATTTACAAAGTGTCGAGAACCGTTTTTAAATCCGATCCACTGTCTTCGTCAGTCAGATAATTACAGTCCCACAATGGCGCATACAATAGAATGAAGCTAAGAAAATAAAACTAGCGTATAACGATAAATTTGATAGTCATAAAAATTACATGTAAAAACTTTCTTATACTTAAATCACGCTAACAGTGGCTAAAGCCAAATATAAAATTAATATATATATATATATATATATGTGTGTGTGTGTGTGTGTGTGTGTGCGCGCGCGTGTGCGTGTGCGTGTGCGTGGGCGCGTGTATGCGTGCATATGCGCGCGTATGCTCGCGTGTGTATGCATGTATGTATGTACGTGCGTATACACGCGTATGTACATAAAAACTTACTGATAATTCGAGTTAAAAATTACAATTAATTAGACATTTCCAGCTTTGTAATTCAGTCGAATTGAAAAATGACACATATTTATCGTACCTCGAACAAAAATAATCACGGTTTCGAGTGAAAAATTGACTAGAAAAATAAAATAATAAAAGAGCGATAGAGAAAAAATGAAAAATGAAATTCTCGGTACAAATAATACATTATACAATAATAATAATAATAATAATAATAATAATAATAATAATAATAATAATAGTAATAATAATAGAGGGCATCAATGCCATTTCTTGATGATGACGAAGATGATATTTAAAGAAGTAACTGTACGGTAGTCATAGCAATATTGTTTCTCTTATTCTAAATTGTTGTCGATAGATGTTGAGGCTCTGTCAATACTAGTTATCGTTTAATACAGAATGACTTTCGTATAGCTAGATTCTCGATTTCCCTGTGATTTAATCCAATTCGATTCACATATAAGAAAATGTATAAAAAATTATTATTTCTGTAAAGATAAGAGCTGATTCATAACCAGACAAAATACGTGACTGGTAACAAGCTCAATATGTGAAGAAGCCTACATATTCTTAATGACGTTTCTTCGATCACGTGTCACTGTTAGAAGTTGTTAAATAAAAGTACAATCAGTCTTTCCTTAGGAAACAGTCACTTTTATGTACGCGCATGTGCTTCAATGCGGTATAGTTTCTCCTGCTTAAATAATCACGGTCATCCACATAAATAATGTGCAAACTCTTTCAGTTACAATGTACTTCTCGAAAATACGGGATTATGCACATTACCTTTACGTACACGAATTCTTTAATGCTTATACATGATTATCATCGATATTTTAGTAATAAGTAGTATTGATTAAAAGATCTGATATTTACGACATAAAATATTTGAACTTGTTATTGATGTTTTTTTTTTTTTTTTTGGCAAACAAACTCTTTAAAAATATCATCCAATAGTTTCTCTAAAATATTGATAAATAATTCCATCTATTTTAAAAATGTATTAGAAATATTTGTAAAAATATAAATATTCTTTTTTTTTGTTTTTTTCTTTTTTGTTTGTTTGTTTGTTTTTTTTTGTTTTTTGTTTTCGTGAGATTTCTTGTCACAATTATACCCGATTACTCGTAAGTAAACGAATTTAAATAAACTTATTACAACTTTTTCTCATCAGTCTGTAATTGAAGTCTGGCAAAATACAGTTGACAATATTTTAGAAAAACTTTTTTCCAAGAATGCAGAACATTAATGTCAAACATTTGTGCGACAGAAATAATCCTTCACTCATTGAATATTTTCAAAGAAAAATCATCAATTTTCAAAATCATCACTTACAAATTTCAAATTGTAGTTGATCTGCTTCTTGTAATAGTTGACAGTGTTCCGACACAAATTAGACATGGGTTAGCTGGGATCTATCTACTTTGCGCTTATTGTACATGAAGCAAAGTATTATAAAGCAACTTTCTTATAAAACAACAAACTCTACTGGTCCGCACTTTTTAGCGATTCACGGCTAGATGTTTGTTGTAGAGAAATCTAATTATTATTAATGGATTCGTCGTATTATGACTCTAATTCGTTTCCTTCCCCAAGATTGTGCAAATCTAAATAATTAACGATTCCTCGATGCAAAAACTCATATTGAGGCTGTAATAATTTACAATGCTGGATCAGTTAAGTAAAAACATTGCCGATTGATACATTGCCGATTAATTATATACAATACTTACAAAGGTACTAATCATTCCATGCCTCTGCGATCGCAATTTCTTAACCGTAGTAAAAATGTCGATTCTTTTTTCAATACGCAACTGTTGCACAAGAATACTTAAAATGACAAACATCGAGCTTCTGTCCGAGCCGTGATTACAATGAATGGCAAGTGGTCCGCTCGACTCTGTATTATTAGTTTGGGTCTGATCTATAAGTTCGATGAGACCTCTAGTGACTTCTGGTACTTCGCCTTCTACTGTCGGCCAGCCGTGGTACTGATATTGGGTAACTACTATATTTTCATCAACCTTCGTGTTGGACACACACAATTCTCGACGTGTGAAGTATGGACAGCTTTCGCTCTGAATATAACGAACGCGAATGTGATCGTATGAGACTTCGTCATCCGGCCAGTAGCGTGGACATTTTCGTGGCCCTTCTGCGAGCTACGTCAATTATTGAAGGGAAAACAAAAGAAAAAAAACAAAAAAAATTCAATAATTTTAATAAATTAAGATTAGCATAATGAACTATTTAAGGTAATAATGATGAGATTTTACTATACTAACATCCGAGAGCATGACAATCGTGGATATGCACTGCTCAGAGATCATTCTCCAAAAATCAGCAATAGTAGACTCAAGAGGATCTTGCGTTATAATAAAGGATTCTGAATTATCATAGCCTTCGATGAAGGAGGCATTGATGTACGTAGAATGTTCCTTGCCAGGTATCGGTGTGAGAATAACTCGATTTCTATCATAAGGTATCACCAACTCGCTTCTATTTTTGTTTCTATTTTCCTCCCCACCTCCTACTGAAAATGATTTTCGATCTTCTAATACAGCAGTGATTTTCTGAAAAAATCAAGATTACAAAATTTCTCAAAATAAATTGCATTTGTCGCTTTTTACACGATGAGCCTTAAATAAATTGCAATAGATTGCACATACATCGTATTCTTCTTCCATACGGCATTTTTCTTTGCCATTTTCTCTTTGACGAAGCTTTTCAACAGCTGCTTTAAGTTGGGGTGCTGCTATTTCAGTATCGCCATACTGGCCCATTTCCATGAGAGATCGATATATAAAAATATATTGCTTCAATGACTGTACTAGGAAATTTCTCTGATGTCTCAAGTCGCACACGGTGTTAAATATCGATACTTGTCCCTCTTCGGCTAACTGCTGCATCAATGAATCGAGGGCTACCAAAGTTCCAGTTCTTCCAACGCCCGCGCTGCAATGGACCAAAATAGGCCCCTTTTCTAGGGAGTAGGCTTCGTTTACTCGCTTTACAAACCTTAAAATGGCATGGGGATGTTCCGGGGCCATAAAGTCTTTCCAAACCAAAAAGTGATACTGCACAATTTTTCGCGTGTCCCGTTCTCCAGTTCGCGTCATCTTCAGCTCTCGTACAACGTAATCCGAGTATTGATATTCGCCAACGTGTTCAACAGTTATATCACCAAAGTTTTTCGTTTCGCCTTTGTCTGGCCAATATTTGGCGCACTTTGTTTTCGAATACTCTTCTAAGTTTGTTAGCATAAGGACCAGTTCCAAATGCTGTTCCCATATCATCCTCCAGTAATCGCAAACCGTATTTTCCATTGGGCCCTGAGCACAAATGAACTTTTTTCGCTCCTTATAGCCAAGCACAAAGTTTGCATTTATGTAATCCGATCCACAAATTCCGTCCATTTGGGCGAGGCGAACGCGAGTTTGATCGTAACATTTAATGTCGGGGTAGCGATTTTTGTAAATGTTTTCCCGGGCCTCGGAAGCTCGGGTCGTTCGATCGGTAAATCTATCGGGTAATAATTCAAATTCATGTTGAAAACCATAATCCGAGTCCCTATGGCGTTCGAGGTAAGATTGCAGCAATTCGCTTTTTGGAATAGGTGGCATATCGGGTGGAGTTGCAGCAACTAATTGATGCCGGCCTCTTAAGCTTTGACACAAATGCCTATGTAAAGATAAATTCTTCGTTAAGCCGATTATAATTGTTGGTCAAATAGGCTGAATTGCATTAATCATAATGTGTAACGGTAACGCTAATTTAACGCACTGGAGCTTACACTTACCGAAAACTGTTCCTAAGTGTTATAATTTCCTCGCCGCGTTGTTGCACACGTTTTGAATAACGATGCAATACACACAATGTAATTAGAAGAATTATAATGACTAAAATAAGAACGAGGGATATTTGTAAAATAACAGCAAGTGTTGTCATGTCTTCGACAATCACTAATTTGGGATCAACGCCTCCGTATAGCGGTGGCAAGTAACTACTGTATGCTGCAAGAAACTGACCTTTGACAGATCCATAAACTAAAACACATTGTATAAGTAATTGTTATCGACGATTCTTTATTATATTGAAATCTTTAGAATTAATTTTAAATTCCATCTTACCGATAACCTCAACAAATGCCGTATAATTAGCTTTCTCATCCAAATAACCATCGTATGCAGAAATAGATAAACTATCATAATCATTTTTAGCAACGGTAATATCTTCCCTCCTCCTTCGCGATGTTTCCGTCTGATTGATAGTAGGGGTGGATGTGGTAAATGTAGAATTGTCAAATTTGGTAATATTAATAATGTTTGACTGGGGCGTGACTTCTGAGGTTTGCGTGCTCATACCTATATTCGTAGCAGCTTGGGTTGGATTCTGTATGTAAGAAAAAAACAAAAAAACAATGACCAAAAAAACAAAAATCAACAATGAAATAATTGTATAATTATTAATAATTATCTTTAAAACTAAATACCAAAATAAATAACTAACCTCTGGTATAAAATGCAATAACGTTGGTATAGACTTCTGTCTTAAGCCAATACATTGTTCGCAGGCGATGCTTCCATTATGGCTTTCGCCATTACCGATAAATACTTCAGGAGGTAGATGATTACTATCGAACATTTCTGCAAGATATGCTCCACCTAACGTCGAAGAATAAACGTACTGATAGGAAAATACAGAAATTTCTTCGGGTGGTGGTAAGTCGACCAAAGTTTTTTGAGGAGCGAGTTTTATAATAAAAATTTTATAACAACAAATGGGTCCGTTTCTTTCTGTGATTCGTGGCAAATAAATCTTAAATAATTGTCTTCCCTGGCTTTCAATTTTGTGCCACGACCTTGCATTCAAATTTTCACGATCTGGTACAGTTACTGGCATTGTGCAGTTCGCTATGGCCTCGTCCCCGTAAAATCGCTGACGCGTTTGACAAGATACACGAATCTACAAAGCAAAATTTATATTATATTTTCTCAAATTGTTTCATATTGATCTTATAACTTACTGTATAATTAGTATTTGGTGGCAATTGATTTTTACGAAATGTATTGTATTGAAAATCTACATGGTCTATAAATGGATTCAGTCGCTCATTCTTCATTCGACCACTTTCATCTTTAAACGTTGCTTTGCCATTAATTTCAATTTTGTATTGGAGAATAATGCCAGTACGTTTTTGAGGAGCCACCCAATTTATCGACATAAGACTGGTTCTACTTATATTATCAAAACGACACGACACAGACAGATTTTGAGGCGCATTAGGAACTAAAGTACAATAATTTGTTGAATTAGTTCGCCGAGTTATCAATAATAAATTATACACGAGAAAATAGAAACACTATACCTCCATCTAAAGTTTCGGCTTCGACTTCTTTACTCCAATTACCACATTGACGTGTATATTCGTTACACGCTGCAATTTTAAATTTATAAGTTGTTGCCGTCTCCAGATATTCAAATAAATATAATTGGCTTTGCTGAACTGGAACGACAGCTTCTCTTGTTTGAGCCTCGTGGCTCGCAACTATAATATAATAATGAATGTGTTCTCGAAGATCAGGTGGAGGATTATTCCATGCTATTGTGACTGTACTGGACGTCATACCATTAACATTTAATTTGGGTATAAATATAGGATCTGCGAAATTTAAATGCTTAATTAAAAATTAAAGTACACGCAGTAAAATTATAAGAAATGATTCGTATAAGTATAAAAACAGAAATGGGATCGCTTATTACAATTAAATACCTTTTTCAAGCGTTGTAATCCATCTTTGATCTATTTGAACGTGTGATTTTCCAACTTTATTTTTTGCCGTAATACCAATCTGATAAGCAGCTCCCTTATCTAATCCTTTCAAAACAAAGCTTGAATTCCCTCCATTTATTAATTCGGAATTATATTGCCAAGAATCTGTACCATTTTTCATATACTGAATGAAGTAAGTCTCTATTGGCTCGTTGCCATTATTAACGGTCCAATTCAAAAATATACTACCAGCGCCAACAGTCTTTAAAAAGTCAATGCTAATCAGAGGGACGTCGATAACAAAAAGATGTCTCTCGGCTGTAACAACACCATAGAAGTCGCGAGCACTGCAAGTATATGTCCCGTTATCTTTGCGTGTAGCGCTCTTAATCGCAAGCATTAATGAAACATTAGTTTCATTTGTCTGCATCCAGTTTGTCATATTTTTAAGACGCTCTAAGTTATCCGAGTCATTGCTCTTTGCCCAACTGTAGTTAGATAATGGATCGCCATAAAAATCACACGTCAAATTAACCGCATTCAATGCCTTAACTCTAATATTTTCACTAATCGCTACTCTAGCTGGTTCTGAAACGGTTATACATTGTTGAGTACGTAATATTAAAGCAACGATAGTGGATAAAAAGCTGCGATATTTACCTATAACTCTTATATGAATAGTTTTTTTAACTACACTATTGGAGATGTGAACGTGACACGTATAATTGCCACTGTCCTCTCTGGTGGCTTTCTTCAGATCGAATCTTTGAAGATAATCGTTCTCTTTAACAGAAGTTAGGTTTTTATTATCGTAAGTCCACCAGATGCTGGACACTGGCTCAAATGCTTTACATATAAGATGGGGTGTGCTGCCAGCCTCGATGCCCTTTGGATCTTGCGAAACAATTATTTCCAGCAACTCTTTGCCATTAGGCCGTACGTTAGACGTCACATCGGATTCTACAATAGGAAGAGAAGAGCAAAGTCAAAAAGAATAAAGCATGCAGTCGCACATTGAGCGAAGCCAAGCTGTAAAAACCCAGAAAGATGTACTCAGAGGCATCTCATACATCGACAGGCACAGCCGCAAGAAGCGAGAAGACGCGCGAATGCGAGAATCGACAAATTAGGAAAGTAAGCGAGACAAAGCATAGCTAAGCTAAGATAAGATAAGCTAAGCCAAGGAAAGTACAGTCCAATGGACTCACTGTTGCCGTTGCTGTCAGCGGTGACAAGTAGATGGCTATAAAAAGCAAGAGCAAATATCGCTGGGGCGGTGTAGCTCCGACTCGCCCGGGGCCTCATGTCGAACGCGGCCCTCAAAAGCCTTCAGCCCAAGAAGCAGGAAGCGAGGCCCGAGCTCGTGTCCGATGTCGGCTTGGCGTCCCTTTCAACCTCGGCGGCGCTCAACGGCCCTGCCCGACGAGCTCGACATCTCCCTTGTATTATAAGCGGCCGGCAGTCGCCCTATCTCTCTCTCTCTCTCTCTCTCTCTCTCTCTCTCACGCTCTCTCACTCACCCACCCACCCACTCACTCACTCACTCACTCACTCACTCACTCACTCACTCACTCACTCACTCACTCACTCACTCACTCACTCACTCACTCACTCACTCACTCACTCACTCACTCACTCACTCACTCACTCACTCACTCACTCACTCACTCACTCACTCACTCACTCACTCACTCACTCACTCACTCACTCACTCACTCACTCACTCACTCACTCACTCACTCACTCACTCACTCACTCACTCACTCTCTCTCCCACCCACCCGCCCACCCACTCACTCACTCACTCACTCACTCACTCACTCACTCACTCACTCACTCACTATCTCTCTCTCCCTTCCTTCCGCTCGCAGCTCCGCCCGCGGTCCGCCGCCCCCAACAGGCGGCTTCTTCCCTCGCTGGGTTGTTGGTGGAAGCGGAAGCGCGCGCGCGACCCCCTTCCCAAGCTTCCACTGATCTTTGTCGCTCGACGCCCAGGGCAAGAGCTAAGAAGTCGCTGCCGTTCCTATCACCAACGATAATTCTACTACTTCGCATCCACCGACTGACGATGGGGCAATCGGGGGCGATGGCTCTGTGAGATGGAGTAAACTTTTGTGTTTGTAATGTATACAAGTACGCGCTCTCTCTCTCTCTCTCTCTCTCCCCCTCTCTCTCTCTCTCTCTCTCTCTCTCTCTCTCTATATATATATATATATATATATATATATATATATATATATATATATATATATATCCCCCCCTCTGCCACCCCGTCGTGTGCTCGCTCTTTTACCCGCTTCTTTCTCAGCGCTTTTCCCTTGTTGCTCTTTTCCGTTTCCTTCGGTGTCTCGACAGGCGTCGTCAAGCAGCCGGCTGTTGAAGGCTGTCAAAAACCGCGAGGTAAAAATCAGGTAAAATACGCGCGCACGCCCGCGACTTGCCTTGCAGTTATCGCCCCCCTCTCACTTGCTCTCCCACTGTCCGCCTCTCTCGTTCTTCTCTCACCCCCCTCTCACTTTCCCAACCCTCTGCCAAACCCCTCCCGCCACCCGCCGCGCCTCGCCCCACCCACTCACCCATTACGGCCATCGCTCTCTACATTATCCACGGAAATGAGTAGAAGTATGCACGCGTCGGCTTCCTCGGATTTTTTATTGTCGTTAGCACTCCAAAGAATCCGCATTGCTTTGGGACTGGGACTTTGGGAAATCTTTAACCCCAGCATTCGTCTACTCTTTCTTTTATTCTTTTACCATTCCTTCTCTTTTATTTATGTCGATAAGCCTTTTTGCGTAACCGATAATGCATTCCGACTGATAAGCAGCGGATAAATTGCGATGCTTATGTTACAACGTATTCTGTTGATGCGGAAAGCTTCCTATACCAACGCATTTAATGGTAGCATCTATTCGCTTTAATAATGCTGCACTTTAGTGTAACAGCTCGAGCAGTTGGAACGGTGCTGAGTTAGAATTCTGTCACACACGGTCGCGCACACTCGCACACACGCGCACGCACACATGTTCTCTCGCTCCTCTCTCTCTCTCTCTCTCTCTCACTCTCTCACTCTCTGCCCAGCGTCTATCTCATTTTCTCTTTCAATTCCTCTCGATTCTGTCGTGACAATATCGTACGTAACATACATACTTTGTCAACTTTAAATTCCCTACGAGGGCATTCTACTAACTTACTTAAAATCACATCAATACGGCACTGCAAGCAGGATTTCCATTACATTATTTACTGTTTATTGGTATATCATATTTAATTATGTCATTTATACATAGCAAATTACTTTATGGCAGAAGAAATAAATATTCATTAATATTTACTTAATGATATTGTTGCGCAAACATGTAAATTCGCTCAAAGTATTCATTATTTTATATTCAAATAAGTAATTTGGTATTTAATTATCCGTGGTTTCAAATAAATTAAATGACATATAAAAAATATTTTCTCTCTTTTTTTTAATACAAGCGCTGGCGTACAGCACGATACAAAGGATAGAAAAGCATGACAATGATGGTTAAATAAAAAAGTAATATGAGTGTAACGTTGAATGCTGAATAGCGATGCTACCTATAAATACACAGGCGCTTTGTTAACATAATAGTGTTAAGGTATCTGAACCTGAACTGCTAACCACAGCGTCTGTTACCCGGTAATGATATAGAAATATATATAAGGATGCCGATTATTCGGTGGGGAGCGCGACAAGTAGTATTTGTATAGTGTAGTTGTAATTTAGCAATAACTGTAATTGCAGTAATGTAGTACTAGTATCAGTATTGGTAGTAGTAGCAATAGTAGTAGTAGTAGTAGTAGTAGTAGTAGTAGTAGTAGTAGTAGTAGTAGTAGTAGTAGTAGTAGTAGTAGTAGTAGTAGTAGTAGTAGTAGTAGTAGTAGTAGTAGTAGTAGTAGTAGTAGTAGTAGTAGTAGTAGTAGTAGTAGTAGTAGTAGTAGTAGTAGTAGTAGTAGTAGTAGTAGTAGTAGTAGTGGTAGTGGTAGTGGTAGTAGTAGGTAGTATTAGTAGTAGTAGTAGTAGTAGCAATAGTAGTCGTAGTAGTAGTAGCAATAGTAGTCGTAGTAGTAGTAGCAATAGTAGGTATAGTAGCGATAGGTGCAGTTGAGATAGCGTAGTAGCGATAGTAGCAGTATTAACGATAAAAGTAGTAGCGAAGTTAGTAGTAGTGGTTGTTGTAGGAATAGTTGTAGGGAGGTAAGTACAGACTGCAGAAACTGTAACTGTAAGCTGTTACAAACTGTAAAAAGACTTGGCCGCTGACTAGGACGGTGATGGTAGGGTGCATTACAACGGTGGGACGAACTGTTGAGCGGAGTGGGGATGAAGAACGAGAGCGGGCACGAGGACGAGAGTATGCGTATATGCGTGTGAGTAAATGAGTTGGAGGGGCGAGGGTGGGGTACACGTAGGTGCCGCCAGATGTCGCCACTGATTTGAACGAGCGAACGTAGCCAAGTATTAAAATAAGTATAGCGCATAGGTGTGCGCGATCACGGTTGCGCTCCAGTCGCGTACTTGTGCGTACGTGTGCATAGTCTTGCATTCGTGTGTGTGAGGCGAGTCGGCTTCGGCTGGCGCTCGGAGGCCTCGGGCCAGTGGCTTATGGTATTGTATACACGGGCTCGACGTACGTCTAACAGTTTGCCGTTGATGCTTGATGGCTCGACGACTGTATGTCCCGCGTTCCTTCATATCGTCACGGTTGTGCGAGTCGGTTCTGTTTTTTTGACTACCTCCTCCTTATCGGCTCGTAATTGTTATCGTCGTCATCGTCATCGTCATCGCCATCGTCATCGTCAAAGTCGCGCGTAAACACGATCAAGGAGGACTCACGCGCTACTTTATTCTTATTCTGAATGCATTCGTATCCGAGAAGTAGTTCGTTACGGAAAATCAGTTGCGACGGTGGATCGCCGAGCGACTACCCTCATAAAAGTGAGGTTATGTAATTGTTTTTCCGTACTTGAAGAAATAGAGAAAGAGGTGGTGGAGAAAGTGACGAAGAAGGCGGGTCAGTGGTGAGGAAAAACAACAACCCTTGTGACTCATTACCGGCCTTCTCTCGATCGGCGTCTCAATGACAAGGACAAGGATGTGTTGGCAAGGTGAGTTAGCTTGAGTGATTCTTAGTGATTTTGTCCTTGCAATGATTTAACCCTCGGCGGTGCCAGTGACCCCCTCCCCGCGTGTGACACGTCCCGAGATCAAACCAACCTCCGCGAAAAATCGCTACCTCCCCGACGGCGCACCGTACGACCACAGCACCGCTCTGGCGTTCAACTACCTGTTGTGACGTTTACCGCTCCCGCTCGCCAATCAGTCGCCTGGCCGCCTCCGAGCGAAACCCCTTCTCCGGGCGCATCTGCCTTACGGTTCCCCCTGCTTCCCTCGCGACGCACGCGTACTTGTCCACACGCTGTTCCGTGTTAGGAGAGACCGGAAAAGCGTCCTTCCACGGGCCGAAATCAAAATCGAAAGTCGTTGAGAATGACGGGGGCACCAAATATAACCGAGGAAAGAATGAGACGTGATCCGATGAGTAAGTGAGTGGATGGTTGATAGATTTGAGTTGGTTATTTGGTTGGTCGGCTGTTTGATTGGATGGTTGATAGATTGGTTGACTGGTTGGTTGGTTTATTGGTTGATTGGTTGTTTGGTTGACTAAGGCGATGCCGAGATAAGAATTGGGCGAGAAAGATAGAATGATCCGTTCCCTTTCCTTGCGACGACGGCGACACGATGCTCAACGACGAATGGAGCCAGAGATCACTTCTTGCGGTTGCCTCCGGGCTCACACTCTGCAGACAAGGCAAACTGCCTGTCTCTCCGTCGTCCCTCTCGCTTGCTCTGTAAAGTAGCGGGGAATAGAGACTACAAGAGTTTAGTACTTTAGTCTGGCGCATGCTATTGCCTTTGTCGTGCGCATGTTCGCGCGCTCTTACCTCCACAAGGCTTGCGCATATCGCACGCGCATACGCGTACGCACTTTCTCACACAAACACATCTCGTGTTCCACTTCTTTTCATTCGTTCACCTGTCGACGGCACGCGCTCTTATATGTCAGCTCGTTTCAATTCCCCTTCCCGCTCTATCTTGTTCGGCTGTCGCTCAAGTCATTTAACTAGCTGACTAACTGTCAATTGTTCCCTGCAGGTTGCCCACGGTGTTTACATCGAGTGGACGATACGCGTGGGTGAGCGACAGCAACAGAGATAGAGAGATACGTAGATGTTTATATATAGATGCGCATGCACACGTGTGAGATACGGATGCAAGCATACACGCATCGATAGATCAATATCGGTACATCATCTATATATCGAATCAATACAAGTATTTAGAGATTGAGTTTGCTCTCTCTCTCTCTCTCTCTCTCTCTCTCTCTCTCTCTCTCTCTCTCTTTGCGTGAGCCCGTGCGTATGCGTATGCATGTGCGTGTGCGTGTGTAAATAAGAGCAAGAGAGGAAACGCTCGAGCTAGCGGTATTCAACAAGTAGGCAAATCCACAGCTCTCTCTTGGAGTCCTGGTCGAGCAGAGTGAGATGAGAATAGGATGCCAGCGGGCCGCTGCAGGAGGTGGCGACGAAGGGAGGACGTGGAAAGGACGTGCGTCAGCGGAACAACTATCCAACTGAACTGGCTTACTCTGCAGTGGATTTCGGAGGCTGTATGGAGGCAGGGGGGCTTCTGCCCCGCCAGCCCCAGCAAGGCCCCCCTGGCTCCATCCCCGGTGCACCCGGACAGCTCCAGCCCAGGGCCAACCTTAACTTAGGCTTGCAGCAGCAACAGCAGCAGCAGCAGCAACAGCAGCAGCAGCAGCATCAGCATCAGCAGCACCAACAGCAGCATCAGCACCAGCAACAGCAACAGCAGCAGCAGCCGGCCAATAATCAGAGCCAATTGCACCAGGACCTGGGTGCGCTCTGCCAACAGCAGCAGCAGCACCACCAGCTCCACTTGCAACAGCAGCAACAGTTGCAGCAAATGGGTCAGGCACCCGGAATGGGAGAGGTTTTGCCGCCGAAACGACAGGCGGTAGTCGATCGGTTGCGGCGTAGAATCGAACTTTACAGGCGTAGACAAACGGACCTCGTGCCCAAATTTGACCAGACCTTCCACGGCTTCTGCGAGCAGAACATCCAGGACACGCTCGTGCTGAAACAGCGCTTCCTGGACAGCAAGGCCAAACGGCAGGCAAAGAAGACCGACAAAAAGCAGAATGACAGCCTTGGAGGGCTGTCGAGCATTCATGTGGTAAGTACACATAAGTCTCGTTTTTACGTGCTTCTTAAATTCAGCAAACTATTTAATGGTTATATTCCAATAACTAATGGCCGCCAAAGTACGACGGGCTGCGGCAGCACGTTAGATAAGCCCGGGCTAAGACCGAAGGTACTACGGAAGGAAAGAGGAAGGATAAAAGAGTGAGAAGAGGTGTGCGTGCCCGCACATACGGATACGCGTTCTTTTCGAAATGTCTTAAAAATCCCTTGTGTTGTCTTGCTCGACGAGCCTCCCCTTTCCAAGCTTTTCACGGGAAAGCGGAGATGGAGCACAAATAAAGAAGGTAACTTCTTTCTCTCGCGCGAGTCTCTTCAATAGGCCCGCGCTCCCATTACGAACTGCGAAGTAAACGTGGGAAAATAGGAGAAAGCATCTCGGCGCGCTCCTGTCGCTCGAGAGAAATGGGGTGGGGGAGTCGGTGCATTAGTAGTAGAGAGCGGCCACCTCCACCTACATGCGCACGCGATGACGGCCGTCGCGCTAATCAATTATAAAATCGGTCTTCGGTGGATGAAGAAAGCCTGGCACTCGAAACGAAAGGTCGCCTTGCGGAGTTCCGCTCAAGCCTCGCTATGTAGTACCGAGGAGGTGGTGAGGAGGTGGAGAGGAGGTCAAAGCGACTAAGGCTATGGTAGCACCAAGCAAAAGAAGAAGCGTTTTAAAATCGCTCGGGCACGCGCGCCGTTTCAGGCTACATTATCGCTGCAGACGCACGCGCGTACTTTCCTTCGTCCGTCCACATTCGGGAGGAGTAGCCGTAGAGAGTGTGCGCACCCGTACGGCGCTGTTGCCATCTCCTCCTCCCTCTCCCTCTTCCTCTTCCTCTTCCTCTTTCTCTTCCTCACCCACTCCCACTCCCACTCCCGCTCCCACTCCCGCTCCCACTCCTACTTCTACTCGTACCAGTGCTCGTACTCCTACTCTTGCTCCTACTCCTACCCCTACTCCCACCCCTATCCCTATCCCTATCCCTATCCCTATTCCTACTCTCTTTCTCTTCCTCTTCCTCTTTCTCTTCCTCTCGCCTGCCGCTCTCTTCCTCCTTTCTAGCCAGTTATAGCATCCCTCCCAACCTCGCTCTATGACACGCTCTTTTCGGCTCCAGCTGAGCACTAATCAGTGATTCTCAATCGCTTTACAGACTGTGTTCCCCTTCCTCCTCTTGCCGTACACGGCGACACGCGTGCGCGCGAACACACCCGCGCAAGCATGCACGCACGCAGGCACCCCGTGAAACGGCGCTCGGTAACCTTTTTCGATCCGCTCCACCTACAGCGACCAGAGGCGCGCTTACGACGACTTCCTCCCGAATCTCTTCTTCCGCTCTTTATAATTCAACCTTTTCTTTAATATTGTTGTTATATACTGCCTGTCCACTAGTTGCCTATCCCCCCCCCCCCCCGTCCTCTCTCCTGCCTTTCTTTGAGCCGTGCGCGATGATGATACGCAAACGTAGCTGAGCCGCGCGTCGCAATAGCTCGGTTTATTCCCCGAGGTCGGATTTTGTAGTAAAAAGCAACTTGGCCATTTTGTAAACAATATGTCTCTCCTTAAGTATTTTTCTTCCTCCGTATAGTTCGCTCAAAATACTTGGAACAGCATATTTTAATTTTGCCTTTAAAAAAAATGTCACCCAAGTACACGTAATCATGTCGAGTTCAATTAAATTGACAATGAAACTACATAGTACCAAGGACGATAAATAATTTGTCGATTAAGTTATCCAATATTATGTATATCATTTGCGACCTGCTATTGTTGAAATTAGCTCGGCAACGGAAAATCGCTTTGCCCAGACTAACGGATAACTTTTAAGATTTAATGACTCGACCAACGCTATTTTTAGTTCACCCAGTGCCAAAACAACCCTTCCTTTCTATCCATCCCTTTCTTTTTCTTATCGAAACTCTTACACACTCGAGCATGACGTCGATCTTGTGGCATGCGCGCATTATAAGATGCGTCACGCGCTCTTGTCGGTTTTAGTCAGCCTGTCTGCTCTCGAAAGTACGCCCGAACGTCTATACACGCGCCTTTCGATTTTCGTCTCGTTCTCTTTATTATTTCCTTTCTATTTTGATGCTGATTTTTCATAAAATATAACAATAGGAATAAATAAATAAGTGAGCAATAAAATTAAACGAAAAGGGAAAAATTTTGTATGCCGTGAGGTACACTTGCAATCGTGAAGATAAAGTGTAACGGAACGCGAAACTGTTATACAAACATTAACGATAATTCGTCAGATAATTAAAACAAAAAAACAAAAAAAAAAAACAACAACAAAAAACTAAATAATAAATAAGTACAATAATTACCATGAAAGTCCGATTTTATTTTCTAAGAGAGTCAATTGAAATATATTTCATTGCCTGATTCAATCGATTTGACAATAATATCAACAGCTATAATTATTAAATCGCACTTGTTGTGAATTTATTTTCAATAAATAATTATGCAAACGTTCGTCCCAATACTAAGACCAGAATAATTAAAATAGCTAGTTCAATAATCCAACTCGTACCCAAATTATATGAACGTAAAAAAATTTTATTACGATGTAACGAGAGGAAGAATGTCGCTTCTCAGCGAAAGGCTTCAAAGAACCAACGAGTATCTTTTTACTTGAGAAGAAAAATGAATATTATACTTTACGAAGTTTCTAATTCTTTTTCTTTTCATAAGTTTCTAATATAGAACTAAAACCCAAGTTTCGATGATTCATTTTAGATTCGCTGCATTATTTATAAAAAAGAAAAAATAACAACAATAACAACAACAATGTAATTACATTGTTTAAAACAAAAACGAAAACAAAAAATTTTCAAATAAACGTGAATAAGTAAAATATTAATATCCAAGCTTGAATGAAAAAAACTCGAACATATTAATTTAATATCTGACACTTTTTTTACCTTCGCTTTTAATTATAAATAAAATTATCTGTATAAAAGAAGCTACTAGATAAGGCAGCGAGCAAACAAATTAATGTTAACGTTTTCTTAAGTGCCAGCAATACAGATAGCTTTTACGTCGTGCATGAACGTATTTTAGAAATGATTTGAATATTTGACATACAAACTGAGAGTAAGATTTTTCTGATAAATAAATGTTCTTCAAATCGACAATAATACTATAATATTATTATTTAGAATTCTAGCTGTACGTTTATTTGCGTGGCGTTTATGCGCGTGTGCGCGCGCGTGTGTGTGTGTTTTTTTTTTGTTCTTTTTTTTTTTTCTTCACGAGCACACACATGTTGATCAAATACATAAGCAAATAAATTGCAAAATTATTCGTAAATCAGCCTAGATAATAGAATTTCAAGCAATAGAATGGAATTTCCATTTAAGTATTTATTTACTTAATTATAGCACAGAGAAGAAAAAAAATCTACATTTGCTTGTCACAATATATTTATAATTATAAATATCAATGGATCCATCATAATCCTTCGAATGAAAAAAGAAAGAAAATTAAAATTTCAAATTGTATATTAATTTATAAATAAGAAATTGAAAGTGTCGCGTTGAAAAGCACTTTTCAAGAAGAAACCGAAGATGTTTTGTAATAATACGAAAATAGATAAATCTATGGAAAACAATATAGTCTCGTAATTGTTTGCGTTGATAAAAATAAATCCCGTGTATTGTATATGTGAACTATAATTGTAAGGCGACATGTGAGTGGCTCGTTCACCAGAGTTTCGATTCCACTCATCATTTATCAATTATCTGATAAACAACACTATTAGGAATCTTATATTCGGACATCTTGAAAATAAAACAAGGATAATGTTGGTCGTGTTGTCCCAGAGCTACGAACAAACGGAATGAAATAAAAAGTATCGGTGACCGACGACGATGAAGCGATAATACGTCCGTCCGGTGCCAATCTTGAGAAAGACATGGATGCAGTAGCCCGACCTTGTTATTCGGCTTAATTGTTCAATGTTTATTTCTTCGACGCCGATAATGAGTCGATAGCTGTTAATCGCTTACTTATTCGCTACTTATTCTCAGCCTCTGTATTTTAGATGCGTGATAATTCATACTCTTCTTGTATGAATTAAATCGTTATTTTTAAATGCTTTTCTTTTGAGCGTGAATTTAATGCCAGAATTTTTTATAAAAGCCCTAGAAAATTTAACGTGACTCGAGCTTTATAAAGTTTAAATTAATGTGACAATGGCGTCGGTGCTTAATCTTCACTTTTCTATTAATTGAGAAATATTTTTACAATGGATAATAAAATGAATATTACAATGATGTGAAGTTAAAACTTATCTTCATAATTCGATAAGCAATCTTTTTGCAAATATTAATATATATATATATATATATATATATATATATATATATTATATTTCTCTATCAATTCATTGTACATATAAAACAGAAAAGATTAAGAAATTTATTCTTTACAGTTATTATAATTTATTTCAATCAAATCATAAATACTTAAATATATCAAAGAAATTGTTTATGAACGTAAATTATATTTTTAATATTATCATACATTGGGCGATTAGTGAGAAATAAAGTAACCGTTAAATGACACAAGCAACTCATTAAACTGAAATAGTAAAATATACAAGGTAGTACGCTAATCAAAATTCGACATCATTTATATATTTTACAAATTTTATAAGAAAAACTTATTATATATTATTTGTCGTAGTAAAACTAATATAACAATATGAAATATTGATTACAATAATTTATTTTAAAAATATATACTATTTTGAAAATATTACTTTCAAATATTTATTTTGCGATGCTAATATGAATATCCGACTAGCTTACCTTAACAACAATGAAGAATTATTGCATTAATAAATTAAATAATCGCCGATATATTTTAACGCATAGAATTTTAAATAAAAAAAATTTTACTTAATGAACTATTGGATAATAATAAGTCGCGGAATATGCGGAAGATATGAAATACATAGCTAAAATTAAGTACTG